CCACTCCCTCCTGGCTGACCACGTGCCCCAGGAACTGAGTCTGTCGGCTGAGCAGGTGGCATTTGGCTGGGTTCAATCGGAGTCCAGCACCCCGGATGGTGGTCAGGACCTCCCGCAGGTTGTCGATGGCCTGGTTGTAGCTTCCAGCATGGACCAGCAGATCATCCAGGTACACCACGCATCGGGTACAGGGGATGTCTTTTAGGATGCGCTCCATCAGCCTCTCGAAGGTGGCTGGGGCATTACACAGACCAAAGGGCATTACTTTGAACTGCCACAGTCCCTGCCCTAGGGTGAATGCAGTCTTGCCGCTGCCACTAACCCTCCCGCTGGCTGGCATAGTCATCACAATATGCAAATTGGGTTTTTAATGTTTAAATAGCCCCTGAGTGGGCTGCTGGGAGAAGGGGGGCAGAGTGTCTGTCTCTCTAAGCCAGAGAGGTGTGTGATCCTAGTAGAAGTGAGCAGGAGTGAAAAAATCTTGTAGATGTGGATTTATAAATCCAGAAATATTGTACGGGACAAAATGTCCCAAACAGAAGGAGTGTATATTGGACCTGAACAGAACACAAGTTAATTTACCACAGACACAGAAATGATGATATCTGACTCATCTTTCAGTGTTTGTAATGTGAAATTTTTTTTTTATTGTTTATTTATTTAAGTATGTCTTTTTTTTGTCTTGGAGGACAAAGCATGTGAGAGGCTTAGCTTGCACCTGCTGGGCTGGTACAGGCTCTGTCACGGTGATGAGCTGTGTAAATAAACTGCTTTACAGTAGTGGAGGTGTGCTTTAAGTGTTGTATGGTTATTAATATTAACTGCAGCTGTGTTTACATTGGAGAACTGTCTAATACATGAACAGTTCAGAGAGTTGGAAAACAGTAAACATGTCTAATATAAATTTAGTCTACGCTTACTAATTTTACTACTTTAGACAAGAGGTGTTACACTACTGTTATTGTATCCTATCTACTCATGTGTTTGCAGCTTAAAATGTGGACTTTTATCATAAGGTCCATTGAAACAAACTAAAACCAAAAAGAGTGAATGTTATGTCTGTTGGTACTTGTTTTATTTGGATAAACAGATAATACTATGCATGCTGTCCTAATATTCCTAATATCATTTACTTTGGATTCAGTGCAGGCAAATACCGGTATCTGTCCAGTGTTTTCTCCCCTCTGGGGTCATTTGTGATTGCAGACGTGCTCTTAAAGTGTAAAACTCCGGGTGTACTAATTCTGAGCTCAATTCCAAAACTTGCTGAATATGATCTTACATTATCTGCTGTGCTTTTGGTTTTTAAGCTTGTATTTCTGTAATGGCAGTTTTCTTCAGGATCTAGCTCAGATTGTTGTCTCACTGTAGCGGGTTTTCTTTGAGTCCAATCAATGTGTAAATTCTGGATCACCACATTTGGAGATACTTTGATTCAGATCAGTGTGTGGTAACTGCAGTGACTACACTGATACTGTGACATCATACATCAGCTTTTGTGATGATGTGTGTGTGTGTGCGTGCCCTCTAAGACCTTAAGCACATATAACAACAAGCCCTGGTTCACAGTGAAGCTCAAGTAGCTCCATCATGCCAAAGAGGAGGACTATAAGAGTGAGGACAGGACCCTGTATAATCAGGCCAGAAACACACTGACAAAGGAGCTACTCTGAAAGGCTGAAAAATCTGTTTGGCTAATGACCCACTGTCATTGTGGAGTAACCTATAATAAATACGGATACAGAAAACAATCCCCCCAAGCCATTAATTGGCAGAGGAACTGAATGTTGTGTTCTGCTACATGTTTTAGAAGCAGAACGCCACACCCCTCACCCACCTCACCTCAGACCCAGCAGTTGCTCCCCCCATGATCATGAGTGGACTACAGACTACTAAACGACTACAGACCTGTCGCCTTAACATCTGTAGTTATGAAGTCCTTTGAAAGACTGGTGTTGGCCCACCTGAAGGACACCGTAGACCCCCTGCAGTTTGCCTACCAGGCAAACAGATTAGTGGATGACGCAGGCAACATGGCACTGCATTACATCCTGCTACACACCTTGACTCCCCCGGGGACCTATGCATGGGTCCTCTTTGTAGACTTCAGCACAGTATTTAACACCATCATCACAGACATCCTTCACTCTAAATCGACCCAGCTCACTGATCCTGCCCACACATGTCAGTGGATCAACAGCTTTCTGACAGACAGGAAGCAGCAGGTGAAGTTAGAGAAAATCACATCCAGCACCTGGACTATCAGCACAGGCGCCCCCAGGTATGTGTGCTCTTCCCGCCACCGCTTTCCGTGTTCACTTGGCAACTGCACCTCAGCCTATAGACAGAAGGTCAAACAGATAGTCCTGAGGTGTGTTCGCAACAACCTGGAGCTGAACACACTCAAAACAAGGTTCTTTTGTAAGTGCCTACAATATACTTCCAGCTCAATTAAAAAAAACAACTGCCACCTGCTTTAAATTTAGTTTTGTCAGTCAAGGAAATTTTTCATCAATAACAACTCACCTTTTCAATTTTTATTCTTGCATCCCTCTCTTGTTGCACCTGCAATGGCAGTTTATCACTAACCTATAATATAAAAAAAAAACTTGAATTGCTGCTTTGCAGTTGTATTCCTCTGCCAACTAGTCAAATTCATGGGTTTGGAACAAAAGTGAGGTCACTGACCTTGACTTTTGACCACCAAAACCTAATCCATTCATCTTTGAGTCAAAGTGGATACTTGAGCCAGATTTGAAGAAATTGCCACAAGGCATTGCTGAGATATTGCATTCACAAGAATGGGCTGTATGGACAGGCAGAAAGCACAAAAACCTAATGGCTCAGGCTGTGGTTATTGCCGGTGCAGAGGCATTAAAACCTACTCGGTGTACCTTTAATGTTCTTCTATGTCGCCCATCTTGTGTTTGGCTTTGAACCGATTTGAAAATGTGCATTAATCACTTGTAAATGCACGAATAACTTTTACTGTGTGGGATCTGATTCAGTACAGAGTTCCAACGGCTATGTTTTGCTTGTTTGTAAAATAAACTTCTTAAATTTACTAATTTGCATTTGTGTTATTGCTTTAAGAATTTGAAGTATAAAAGGTTTGGGTGAGATTTATTGCCTTTATTTTACAATCTTTTGGCACGGTCTGGGTTCACAGACATTACAGGGAGCACACAAAATTGACTGTAGGTTTTAGTCTCTGTGTGGGATGTTCTGAAAATGAAAAAAATGGAATCACCAGCTTAGCCTTTAAGTAATAACTATAACTTTATTAACACCACTATAATAAACAAGGTAATTCTGGTCATTTTTAATAAGATATAATCCATGATTTCTTGAGGTAGACTTAGTCTGATTACACATCTGATTTATTCCTGGAGTGTGTACAGATTGCTGATGGAGAAAGTGAGTGCTAGAAGTTACAAATCCTCACCATCATTAATTCACCATCACTGCCATGACAAAAGTATGGAAAAACTGGCCACATTAACAGAGAAATGAGAGTGTGAGATACAGTGCAGATAGTTATTTGAAACAAATCATGTCATGACTAACAAATATCTACAGGAAGTGTAGTTTCTTTGTTCATCAACACAGCAGCTGACTGAAGCGTGGTGTCACACTGACATGTTGCAGAGATTAAAAAAAAAAACAGAGAGCCAAACCCTGGCCAGAAATAGCTCCCAATCTAACAGTACAGAGGACCCTTTTTGACTTAACTCTCAATGAGGACAGAAAGAAGGATTTGACCCACTTCTTTCTTTCTTAAATTCCTCTTCCTGTCCTCATTAGGTTTCATTACAGCATTATGAAAACAAAGAGGTCACAGCTTTTCATTCTTCAGAGGTCATATTTTAGGTCACATTTGACCTTAAATCAAAAAGCATCCTTTTTTACTGTCAGGTTATGGGTAATTTTTTGGTCCAAGTTTAGTTCTGTGTCCATCTTTTGGATGTCAGCTGTGTTTATAGAGCTACATGACTACCACCCATTGGCCCATCAGCAGGGTCATTAGTGAGCTGATGACAACAATGATACTGCTGTAGATGGGGCCACCGGATGCTCCATTGTAGTATTCCATATCTCCAGAGCCCTCTGGCTCATAACCTGGTCTGAGGCCATATCCACCACCACCACCTATGTGTCGTGGGTAGCCATAACCCTCTCCATATCCTCTATACCCTCCGTACCCTCCATATCCCCCATACCCAGGGTGACTCAGGGCAGACCCGAGCACTGCTCCTCCTATGGCGCCTGCTGCAGCTGCCCCAGCTGTTTTCCCTGCACTGGGACCGCTGCCCTGCACGGGTACTGGTCTGTAGACTTGGCCACCACCACGGCCCCAACCCTGGCTGTAGCCTCTTCCACCTCCACGTCCACGCCGGGCCTCTGAGCTGGGTAACAGTGTGGTCAGGAGCAGAAGGCAGAGGGCCACTGTGAGCAGGGGCGTCTGCAGGCCTGACATTAGTTTTTCTGTAAAGACAAAGGAAACATTATTAGGAGGTGTGAACCTGTTTCCTAAGAACACAGCTTTCTGCCCAACCACGGTCTTTTCCATTAATTTTGTTATATTTAGTTATTTTCTAAATATCAGCTAATTCTGGACTAATCAGTCCCTGCAGCGTTTTTTGATCATATATTTTGAGTGAAAAACATAGATTTTCAAAGTAACAAGTAATTATAGCTGTCAAGTGCAAGTACAATATTTGCCTAACAAATCTAGCATAAAAAGAAAATGACTGAAGCCGAAGTAGCCAAATTTGTACTTTACAGAACTGAGGTAAATGTACTTCTATTCCACTTCTGGTTGTTGCAGGCACTCAGAGCTCATAATCATGTACACAAACTGATGTTCTCTGATGAGATGGCATTTAATCCTGTTGTGTGTCTTTTACACTGCTGATACATTAATATGTAGGCCTACATATCACAGGTCTTAATCCAACTAAAATAAAAACCACACATTTTACACAAGCCCCATCACTGCTGCGACATAACCTGACACTGCAGCTGACATGGGACCAAATAGCTTACATAATCTTTAAAGCTCTTTAACTAGCATCTGGTAGATGCAGTCTGATTCTGGATCTGTGGACAAGACCTAAAGGAATGAACAATTGCTTGCTAGCAATAAGTATTTTCTCAATGTTTAACTCTAGCCCTGTATGAACAGATAAGACCTTATTGATACCCCAAGGGACATTCATAAGCTAAGCTTTAAGGAAATCAGATAAAATAACCATTTCAATGGAATAAATACAAATAAAATAAGAAATGAATGAAATTTGCAAGATGGCATCAAAAGGCTAGGTATAGGTTTTACAGTACTGTGGACTAGAAAACTGCAAAAGAAACCTTGCAACTTCAGTCATAATGTGCATACTATTTATAATTTAAGTATATGAGAATAAAAAATAAAGATATTTCATAGGATGTAGTGACTACTAATATGTAATATACACACACTGTACAGTATTATTAAACATTTCTACTTTAACACTAAGAAACTACTAAATATTAAAATACATTTATTTAGATCAAGATTTCATTTATAAAATATGATTACTGTAGATTAAAGGACACAGCTGTATATGAAGTAACTACAACACTAAAATACTGCTTACATATTATTATGATCCAAATATAAAACTATTCTGCATCATGATCTTTATTTTAGCACTTGAGTATATTTTGTTGTGAATATTAATGTATGCAAATACTAAATAACAATACTAAATGCAGGACTTTAAACTGAAATGGTGTATTTTAGTGTGATATTACTACATGCTGAGTGAGCAGCTCCACATCCTTTACTCTGTAGCCAACACACTGTAGACGCTCTAATCTGTGACCTCTGTAAAGGCGAGCTCAGCTATAATTACACTGCCTCCCTTGCAGTTTGAGAATAATCCAGTGACTCTTAGGATTACAGCTACAGCAGCCCACGCTCACAGATTTCATTCATGAACATTTCAGTATACATTTGATACACTTTAGAGCACTCTGATCTGATCTCTGGTGTATTAATTGATCTTTTTAGAACTAGACTAATATGGAGGATGTATAACATATTACATCCAACATAAAGAAAATACTGCAAAAAATAACTGGCATTGTTTCAAGCTGCTGAATATCCCCATACTATCTTATGTTAAATAAGTAACATCTTAATTCCTAACATGATCCTGACTAAACAAACAGCCTCACCTGTTGCGTTGGGGTTTGCGATGGAAATAAGCAGTGCAGCAGTAACAATGATGCTCCTCTCCGACAAAATGTGTTTGCAGCTCAGACTCTTCTGATTGTCCATACGAAAGTATGTCTCAGAGCCAGTGTGTTATCTGCCATCTCACTCAGGTGGGGTGGATTTCCCACATCCTCATTGGCTGAATGTACATTAAACTGAAGTGCCACTCACACCATAACATAAGCTTTTCACCCACCAGACAGAGATTAAATATGTATGTGCATCTGTTCTCAAGATAACATTTTATTAAATAACAATCACTATAGCCCCCCCTCCCCCCCCGATTTCCCAAGGAGTGGTACGAGTTATTAACATCTTAACGACTAACATTTCTTCATTAATTTGAAAAAGACACAATCCAAATGCAGGAAAGTTTAGAGTCGCCAAAAATACAAAAATAGGACATGCACACTGAACCACACACATACTTGTACTTGTGTTTGTAAGGACACTCATTGACATAATGCATTCCCTAGCCCCTTACCCTAACACTTAACCATCAGGACTAAATACCTGACCTAAACCTAATTCTAACCTAAACCCTAAAACCAAGTCTTAACCTTCAAAACACTGTTTCAGAAAGTGAGGACCAGCCAAAATGTCCTCACGTTCCAAAAATGTCCTCACTCTGTAGCAAAAAATAGTTTCTTGGCCCTCACTATGTAGCAAGCACAAGAACACACACTCTTGATGAACTGATGCACACTATGTACTATATGGCGAAATTTTCAAGACAGCTGATAAAAATACTGAATCGACGGGCTGTATAAACACAGACAAAAGCAGACATACGCAAAGTGCTGTGCATGTAGAGGCAAAATGTACTGCTTTGAAATGACCATTCACACATTTAAAACACTTCCCATTACAGATCATCAGCATAATTCACAGTCTTGTGGGATTTTACTCATTTTGTGCTTTTTGCATCTTTCTTTGCTGGATGTAAAGGAAAAAAAAATTGATGAATATTCTATGCATGAATATTTTGTGCAACCAGGCTAATGTCCAACACCTACTGGTACCCACTGTGTGAAGAAGAAATTGTTCTATCAAACTGTATTTCACTGTGCTTCTCTTATACATGTTATGTAAGGCAATAAGTATTGAGAATCAGACAAGAAAACAAAAACCAAAAGGAGCCCAAAAATGTTAACATTATTTCATGACAGAATACATGTTTATCCAATTTCTTGCAGAGAGTTTGTTGAGAGGATTGGTATCACTGTCATGTTTGTATGATAAATATGAAGCTACAGCCAGCAGCTGGTTAGTTTAGCTTATTACAACCACTGGAAATAGGGGGAAAGAGCTAGCTAACAAAACCCAGCTCATAGCTGACAAATTTAAATACAGTATATCTAAGGTGTAAAAACAACAAATTTACAGGCAGTTATGTGTCAAACTATGGCCAAACCAACCAGCCAGCACACAGACCCCTGTAAAACATGTCATTTTTCATTGATTTGTATACAGATGGTTTTTGTAGCGATTAATTGAGAGATACAGCACTGATTATTGTGCTTTAGGTGTTCTGGCAGGTGGATTTTGTTGCATTTGGACAGAGCCAGGCTAGCCGTTTCTCCCCATTTCCAAACTTATACTAAGCTAAGCCAAGCTAATTGGTGATAGCCTCATATACACCATACTGACATGTGTGGTACTAATCTTCTGAACTGTAAGCAATAAAATGAATCAGTATATCCCAGAATATCCAACTATTAGCTTCTTTAACATTCCATTTGTATGTCTGCAGAAAAACTAGGGACAGCTGTTGTCACCATCAGACCACCAGCAGACTGATGGGAACAGCAAACCATCAGTCTGAACTGATGTTTACACTTTTTCCACTTGATAACTTCACAATATTTGATCAAAGTTTGTCTTTGTGCTTGGAGAAACCTTTTCACAGGCACTTTGCTAAGACTATATAAAAAGATGCTTTAAATTGATTTGGGGTATCAGCTTGCAGTCTGAGGGATAGATGGAAGACAGGACATTAGATTTTAGGCTCATCTGAACAGAATTTCACTGCAAAGACAAAATTATTCAGGAGTAGAGGAATGTCTTTCTCTGTATACTGTATGTGATCACGGAGAGGGAGAAAAGTTAGATGATAAAGTGACCGGGTCTGAATCAAGGCTGTGCATGTTGGCATGACTTTAAAGACTATTGCTGAAATGGTCGCACTTGACATGCACACAATATGGCATGTTAAAGTTTGACAGTCACTGAAGGACTGTCAGCTAATTCTTGGTCACAGCTAGGTGGAGAACATTGTACTCTTGGAAAGGTTTTGTTGGTCTGATGTGGCAGAGGGAGTCCTCACTGTGAGCAGATCACATACATGTTGCCCCCTCTGGAAGACATCTGAGCTGCTTCTCAATTATACATCGCAGGTAATTATACCTGCAAGACGGACACAGACAGAGAAAGACTAAAAGTGTAAGTCAGCAAATTAAATAATTACCATGCTAATGTAGACTCCTGTATGACAATTTTCATTTGCTCATACCAGGCGATGCGTGTTAAAGCGCACACATGAATATATAGATTATCTTCCTGTACCTTCTCATGAGTTTCTGCACCTCTCTGTCCTCCTCCTCCTTCAGCTTGGTGATGAAACTCTGCAGGACAGGCATCTCAAACTTAATATACTGCGCCACCTAGTGGACAAGACAAGAAATGTCACCACTAAGAATAAAAAGTAGTGACAAGTAAATAAAATAACACTGGAAACAGACGCGAGGATTTGGGGGATGCGCACAATCACAAAAAAGGAGTCACATCTCTGTCTCCAGCTCTGAGTCCCCATTAAAACAAACATTATTTACATCATATGTGACTTCTTCTCCCAGATCTTCTTCCATGAGGAAAATTTTGGAGACCTGTTCACATGGACCCTGCATTACTCTCAGCACCAGAGGGTAGTCACTCCGCTTCAGTTTCATACGCTCTGAAATATCAATGCATACACAAAGGTACCGTGCTTAACAGAACATAAATAACCAGTTTACAAACACCTGCAGTGTTGGACTCGTCAAGCCTGAATTCTGTCTCTTGACACTAACAAACAAGAAATAAACTTAATAATTCACACTCACCTCCACTTGCGTGGATGAGGTACAGTGCAAAATCATCAGGGCTGTTTTCAATTTTAAACTTGTTGAGGAGTACTCTTAGCACCTGTGGCGTGGTCATGCAGCTGTTGATCCGAACATTGGTCACTGAGCCGTAAGCAGGAGTAAACACAGATGTCTGAAAGGAAAAAAGGAAATGAAATGAATTTAGTTTCTAGGAAAAACTTTATATATTTTTATTTTTTGTGTGAATCTGCAGTGACTGCAAAGCCAAAGTTACTCATGTTATTGTTATTTGTAAATGAGTATAAAACTAATTTGGTAACACTTTAAGCAACACATTATAATGCGGTTGCAATGTAAGCATATATGTTTATTAATGTGTTTTTAGCTATAGCTCCTCCTGTTGGGCACCCACAAGTGGAGGAAACTACTGTAAAAGAATATATATCAGTGAATGACAAAATAATAATAATATCAAATATTATATAGGAGAAGTTTAACTGCTGACAAATATTGTACTTGATTAAACATTTAAAATGCTTGCAACTACATTATAGTGTGTTAACAATGTATTAAATGTATTTATGCTGATAATAAATGGAAAATACTAATAATAAAAATAATGAATAATAAACTGGCAAACAAGATGCTGGCATCACCTTATGGTTATAGAAGTGTCCGTTGATGGAGAACCGATGGCGTCGAATTTTCCGCTGGTCACTCGGTGATCGTCGCTGGCCCCGTCTGAAGACCCCAGCATCGCTCTTCGTCCTGAGGAGCTGGCTAGAGTTCTCACTGTCCTCTGTTCAGTCAGTAATCATTACCTTACATTACTGGCTGTTATTCAGTATCTTTAACATTAAGAAACTCAAACTAAGGGCCATGGCTATTCCTATTCCTGAGAGAATGCTATATTTTTGTTTCTACAATCTTTTATTAAGACCCCTGTTGCATTGAAATGGTGGATACCGTAACAATTGCTTTAAATCATAGTGAAAGAGCTAAAAACAAGATTAGTCTTTCTAATATGCAAGTCAACACAGTAAAACAACGAGAGAGAGGTGTGGTGCTCACATATCACTACAGTTATATGCAAAACTTGTAATCCCAGTGTTTTAAGTTTTCATTTTAGTTGATGGAAATATATATGACACTCCTCTAATGTGTGAAAAGAAAATGAATTCCTTGCTCATGAGAGGTTGCTATTTTGGAGGTGAGAGGTTACTTATCAGTTGAGAGTTGATTAGAGATTTGGTCCATTGTGGGTTTTTTAGAACCAAGTTAATTTGATCTTAATGACTTAATGCAACCTTTCACTGTTTCTTTTTTGTCTCAGCTACAGATAAGACAACACAAATAAAACAATTAAAACTGAATTATTTAGTCATTCAGTTGTTTCTCCCATGAACACTTAGCAATGTGTGATGATGTTCACTGGGTCCTTATTACAGCCAAGGGAGTAAAATACAGCTTCTTACCATATTTATACTGTCACTAAAGCCACTTACCTTCTATGTCCTCTTCTGTCACACCATTGTCCTCTGGTTGGTTGTCAGGTGGTGTTACTTCCACTGTGGGTGGACTCTGCTGTGTTGTTTGTTGACCATCTACGCTGCTGGGGGAACTTCAAAAAGAAAATCAGAGCAAGTACAGGAGAAAGAGAAAAGACATACTGAGAACAGACAAGAGCTGCAGGATGACAAACTGTAAAGACAGATGAAAATATTTTGTAGATATAAACTATTGACTATAGATGAAAAACATAAGGGGAATCCAGGCAGATTCAGTACATAATAATGTAAACAGTATGTGAACAGGACTTTAATTTGAATTATAATATCATCACTGCCAACACTGACACAGGAGCCATATAAGTAGATTTTCTGTCAAGTAGCAGCACTGTGCTTACGTCTCATACACCACATACTGAATGTACGGTACATCATATCCTGTTATTAGATTCAACTTGTGATAGCTGTTCCTCTTTTTTGATGCTGCCTCTGACATATATAATTTATGATAGGATTTCCTTTGGTATTTTAAGTCATTTTTTTGGACTGATGTAAACCTTGCATTATAGCCAGGCCTCTCTGGTTGCTGGTAAATGCTAATAACTGCCATCAGACCTAATAAACATTCCACTGTGCATGTAATGGTGATTTGGGTGAGAAGGTAAAAGGTTGTGGGATCTGCTGTTGTTTGTGTTGTTGATTTTCACTGTTTTATTAGTGCTTTTTTGTGCCTGTTTTAACAATTTAAAAAATAATCTGAAATAAAGGTTAATTTCCTTTTTCATGACATATTTGTTTCCTGCAGGTCATTTTAGGTCTGAAACATCCACATGTTAGCTGCATGCTCATGATGCCTGTTGTCCGTGTTATCCTGTAACAAGAATAGCTTCGATTGTTGAATGGGATTAAAGTGCTAAAAATGGGGCTTCAATCTTATTGACACAGTTTGTTCTGTGGTAGCATGGAGCAAAATCCAAAAGTGAACCATTAAATACCTGGTCATTTCTCATCAGACAAACTAGACATAATCTATATCTGCCCTCGGTGACCTATTGTGTATCACCATTTCCGGTAAGGGAGGTGTAACTGGATCTGTCTGGACCTCTTACCCTTGACTGTCCAGATTGCAACCAGAGTGCCAGGACGTAGAGGAAGGGGGCGGTCGGATACGCTCGTGGTCATCCTGCATCTGAAGCCTAATTGGCCGTCGCAGGCCCCAGAAGATATTCAGCAAGCCCTCAATGATCAGCTCCTCCTCTTCCTATTGGGAGAGAGGAGCTGTGATCAGTGCACATATAATGGGCAGTTGTTATCCCTTTGGGCTAGAGCCTGTAACGGCCTGGGTATGTTAAATTGAGAGACAAACAAAGTGGAAACTTTCAGATGCCTCTGTTGAAGAGGAGGATGACACACACAGACTCACAGCTTTTAATACTCACTTCTCTGTGCCTGAGCTGCATATTTTGGCCTTCATAGTAGAGGTTGTACGTCTTCAGATGTGAGAGGACGGTTGCCCTGGAGATAAAGATGTTAAGTCACCAAGGAGGACATACCGTTTAAAAGGAATGTGCCGCCGATTTCACGTTTTTAGCTGACTAATTGAAAGTCAGATGAACTTCACATTGCTGCAGACCATTTTCCAAAGCATATCAGATGTGGTTAGACTGATTTCCTGCTGTCCAGGCAGTCTTTGAAATTTATTTCAGTAGAGTTCACACTTAAAGTCTTAAAATACACTTGACAAAGATGATTCTGGTTTGGATGCAGTGTGTGTGTGTGTGTGTGTGTGTGCTTGTCAGTGACTGCCTATGTTTTGTTGTGTTTTATCTCTGTTCCAATTCTCCTGCTGTACTCAGGACTTTCTTGCAAAAGATTCTGATCTTAATGAGACTACATGAATAAACAAATGCTGTAAAAATAAAATTCAACACCTGAAACCTGAAAAATCACCAGTGTGGTGCTTTAACATCCCTATTTCACAACATACACATAGTATGTTAAAAGTTAATAAAGGGTAAACACCACAAGTCAGACTAGTCAACCTCAGTTTAAATTTATACTGTAAATTTAGTTCAACTATTTCATCTGTATGTACAGGTGTTAGTATGTATGTATGTATGTATGTGCGTTCATGTGAGAAGCAGAGTGGTATTTAATCCTTACTTGCTGATGAACTTGTTCACTCCAATCTGAACCCCATCCTGTGTGCCATCCATTCTCTGTAGTCATGAGATGAGCTGAGAGACAAAGAAGCAGCAGAGTTAATACTTTTCCTTTGACTGATTCAGTCTCATGACTCCTCATAACCAGCAGTGAGCACTGACACAAAGAGGGCAGCGTGGAGAAGAGGAAAAAGACTGCAGGAAGAGGAGGAGTAGTAAGGAGGAGGTATGCTCCAAACAGTAAACAATAACAGCACATCGTATCCACTTTCCTGTCAACTATTTCCTTCAAGATACAAACTGATAGTCAAAGCACCACTAATGTACAGTATGTCTCTCAGCACAAGGCATATGATGGAGTGAGACAGCTGCTCTCCACACTCTAGTCCTCTGCTTTTTTACTATGTTTTTCTCATTCCTGTCACCCCTTTAACCCTTGTGTTCTGTTAATTCTGTCCTTATGTCTTTCTCTTTTATTCAAAAACATTTCAAGACATACACACATGCAGCTGTTGTAAATGGCACTCTGCCATCACCCTGTAGAGTTTTCTTTCCCTCTTTGGCTGTGTGTGTGCGTGTGCATGTGTATTTGTCTTTGTGTATCTACAGAGGAGGCAGGACAGAGGCCTCCGGAGAGAGATGAACAGGTGTAGGACACATGGGCCACTCAACGGAGCCAAATGATTTCAGCTGCTTGAACATTTAGCTACAGTATAACCATGCTACTAGCAGCACACACTATACGCATTTATCTGTCATGTTTGAAATGAAATGCACTGGATATAGAAATTTTACTACCTGGATGACTGAAGTTAATGTGTTCTCTCTTTCTCTGTATTCCTCACTTTCACACAAACAAACACAACAATCAATCTGTTTAAAAAGTCCAGAACAATGTGTTTGCAAGCTCCTTTAAAAAAACAACAACATTTTTGGAGTATTTTTGAATGCAGGCTATGCATTCAGCACAGGATTAATCCTACTGACTTTTGTGATATGAGGCCACATTGATGTTCACATTTGCGGTCTCAAGTGAAATGTCTAGGCCAGTAATGAATAACTATTTTGAAACCTGAACAGTCTGCCTAACATGTTATAGATTCTTTGATTAGTTATTTGGTCTGTAAAATGTCCTGTTTTGTCAGATCGACAGTCCAAAATTCAGATATTCAGTTTTCAAAGATATAAACAAGAATCCTCACAGTGGAAGCAAAGAAATAAGCTAAGGTTTAACATTTTTGTATGTAACACCTTAAAGGATTAAACTATTATTAAAATTGTCACCAGTTAATTTTATGTAGATCAACAAACATAACTAATAATTTCAGCTCTGTGTCTCAACAACTATTGGATGGACATTTGGTACAGTCATGTTCACCTCATAATAATTTGTAAGAACTCTGGTGATCTTTATGCATTGTCCCTATAGTTTGAAGCAACCACTGGAATTCATTGGATTCAGTTCAGTTCAGCATCAAAAATCAAATATCAGACTTTTCAAACTTGTTTATGTTATGTAATCACAGCAATGTTATATTATTTTTGTTACAGTTTAAAATCACAGATTCTATTGTCTCTCTACAGAAGTTAACTTAAAATCAATGCACACTGTTAATTAATTTGATAATTGTAGTAGTGGATAAGCAAACTCAAGCACATTTCAAAACTTACTAACTGATATGCAATTCAATGGAAGTCTAAAAGAGATTCCTCAGCCACAGTAGCATAAAAAGCATGAGATTTGTGGTACATAGAGTAAAACAAAATACCACCATAACAAAGCCATTTCCTCTAAAACACAGCAATTCACAAAATATTATTACTAAAAATCAGAGAGAGATACCTGTCAAGTAAGTCTGGCGAGAATGTCACTCACACCACATACCCTGGTGAAGACTGCGTGATCTTGTTGAGTCACCAGTGGGAGGTAGCTGCAGTTGTGGAGAGAGAGAGAGAACGGTTAGGCGGGTAGAGTCTGTGTGTATCCTCAGGTATCAACAGTTTTATCTCGAGTGTCCATTTCAAATGGCCCAGGGGTCTTTTCTTTTGAATGTGACAGCGAGCAAACCAGGAAATAAAGGGGGCATTTAAAAGGAAGTGCTTCTCTTCCGTGAAATCGCTTCCTTGTTTGCTCAGTCACTAACACAGGAAACTGACACCAGCTCATACACAGCTGAAAACTTCCTCAATTCAAGCTGTGTTTGAATTATGTACACTCAAAGAGAGTTTACACAGTAGCATTGGTAGAACTGATAAGACCCATTTATCAGTGTTGCCAACAAGAATAAATCTGGAATTGATTTTATTTGCAATAACTGTTTAAATATCTACATTCTTTGCACTTGTCAGGGAGCTACTGAATTCTCCTTATTACAGTTTCTCCTATGTACCTCATCTACAAACAGCAGACCTTTATTTCCATTTCAGCCATTTTCGCTAAAAAATTTTAGAAAAAAATCAACTGGACTTGGTTTTAGGTAGAAGGATGAGAGGTGAAATGTCTTCTACCTAAAACCAAGTCCAGTTGATCTTTTCTACATTTTTTCATCTTACAATGACCTGGATGACTGAGAATCTGCATGGACATTCAGCCAATTTCCTATTATTTAATCCCCATTTCCCCATTGGGAAACAGGACATGATGGGAGGGAACAAGCGCAGTTAGGAGCTTTTGGTGTCAACTTCTTTCGAGTGTCGCTAGGCCCTCTGGTGGCTAAAAAGAAATGGAGTAAGCAATTTAGTAAGGAATGTACTTTATGGCAGATAAGGTCAGTCTATACAGTACATCTGATTAGCTATTCCTTCTCTGAGCCTACATGACAGTGATTATGTTATCACTTGAGTTGCTCTTAATGTAAGTAGCTTTTACACTTGGATGTAAATAGCGGTCATGATAAATGGGTCATACTGCAGCTCACACTCACTGAAGAACTTTTATTCACTTAAGGTACTTGAGAGCTTTCTTCAGTATATTTTAAAAAGTTTGATAAATATGGGCTGAGACAGACCTTAAATGTTTAGTGTAAACAAAGATAATCCTACAGTATAAACCTACAAGTGCAGTAATGTAGCAGCTTTAAACACAGTGCTGATAAATAACCTGAGGCTGCCAACGTGTTCAGTAATTATGCTAAATTAAATATTAAACACCAATCAGCCTAGCTCCCTGCCAAGGTCTATCAATATTTCAGTACCTATATTAGCCCTGTCAAGCATTCAAAAGCTCACCACTGACCTACACAATGAAAATCATTCATCTTTAATAGCATGGTTATGGTCAAGGGCAGTCATGCTTGTAGACTCATTAACAGGTCATGCCAGTGATCTGAGACAGACATGGTCAGCTATCAGACAAAGACAATGTTGGAACCGTCTGCCAAGTCACAGAAAGTCATCTTTTCCTGATGTTAGCTACCTGCAGGCTCCGCAAACAAAGATCAAATCAAATCAAAGACATTTAACCTTTACAGCCAACATTAATGCCAACATTAATTATCATAATATATGTGTACCCTGTTTAGTGTTTGCTGTTGGTGAATTTTGCAGGAAAAACTGATTTGTTGGTATTTGTGTATTTTTGACATAATATAAAATTGATTTTTCTTCACTTGAAGATTTCACAAACCACAGGATAGAGCTGGGAAATATTTCAGAGCAGTACTGATGTTGTGGTATGAGCCTAGATATTGCCTTGGATTTGTGTTTATTTACAATATTACATATGGTGGCAAAGCTTTGTCTTCCCCTGGCTTTGAAGGCTACTTTATAGTTAGGTATAGGGCTGGGTATTGTTTGAAATGGCTTCAATATTAATGTCATTATGATACCAAAATGATGTTTTCCAATGCCTTTTTGTAAGTAAATATGAAAATGTATGAATTTTTTCATTAATAGAACAAAGAAAACTAACATTAGATGATGTCTGAACAGGAAACAGTCCAAAATTGGCAAAAAGATTTAAGAATTATTTAATGAAAGGATTAAAAAAAACAATATAACCTGACCAGATAACAACAATCTATGCTGCAATTAGAGCTGCAACTAAAGATTATTTTCATGATCAAATAAACTTAAAATTTTTTCCTATATACTTTTTAATGTCTTTCCACCATCAAGAGTGCATTATAGTATTATATGAATATTATATGCATTATATGACCGTGGTTGTCTGGTGGACACATACCGAAACCCCATGCTTATTTTGTTGGCATAAAAGAACTTAAATATGTTAAATCTAAAAGCTTGAAAAATATGCACACAATAAGTTGAAGGGGGTTATTAAAATCCCAATGTTTCCAGAAAAAATACAGAGGACATGACCTCAGTGTCTTCAGCCAAAGATTATGAAACAAGTTGTGCTTACTTGGCCATCATAACCACATAACTTGTGTTTTTGCCAGAGGCCGTCTTACCAATGGAAAAGTTAGCTCAAAGCATTACCAGTTACTTCACTTAATCCTTTTGTGAATGAAATGACAGAAAACAGTAAAAATGCCCATCACAAGATCTCAGAGCAGATGGTGATGTTATTAAATGACTTGTTTTGTCCAAACAACAGTTGCAAAGGTCTGCAATTTACTATAATGCATGTTCAAGAAAAGCAGCAAATTCTCTCAGGAACCATCAAATGCTTGGCATTATTGCTTTAAATCAACTTAAATGATTTGCTGATTACTCAATAACTAAATCTCAAGACAATTATCCTCCAACTATGTTGATAATCAACTAATCATTGCATCTCTAAAACTGTATGAAATACCTTGACATTCAACAAAAACAGTTGCATATAGCTATTGTTTTAACCAGATGGTGTTGTCTCCATTGAAATGATCAGTATGACATTTTAACTGCAGAAACCTGGTTCTGTTATTTGTTTTGAAGCCAACTGCTATAAACGCAGCCAGACTGATCCACAGCTGACCCAGTCCTGTTTCAGATCAGGGAGCTCTTCTGTGTACTGGAAAGTAGTCCAGATGTAGAACTCATTGATTTCCTGAATCCCCCTATGCCTCATTACAATCCTGTCTACATCTTCTCCTCTTTCTTTGTAACTTCAGGTCTCATTCGCCTTCATCTGCTGAGTTGTTCCGTACCACAGCAAATGAATTTATTAAGGGCTGCTCAATTTTTCTGATCAGGAAACTCTTACCTCTGTGCTGTCTGTTTTTCACATTCAGCTTTCTCCTTCGTCTCCTACATACTCCCTTGTGAAAGACTAGAAGCCATCCTTCACATTAAAACTCATGACCACAACTTCCTGCCCCACCCCCCACCCCCCCACTGACACACATGCAAGCTTGTTTTCTGTCCTCTTGCCCTGTTGCCTCTGAACCGCCTCTGTCGCCTCTGTCAGCGTCTTTGGCAGAGGTGCATGATGAATCGCCCCAAACCTCCTTTCTGCTTTCAAACTCACCACTATCCCTGCCCTCAGCCCCCCACCTTACTACTGCCCTGCCTCACTATTGTCATCATTGTCATAGTAACGCCAAAAACATCTGAGCTCTAGCAATTAGCCCATAACGCTGAGCCTAAAATAGCAATGTGTAGTTGCCTCCACTGCAGCTTGGTAGGCACACTGGAGTGTGTCAAAAATGTTGCCAAGCTAAATTTATATCCAAACATGGCTTCCAGATTCTGTACTTTCAATTTATCTGCAACTTTTTTGATAATTAATAAACGTAGCAAACAATTCAGTGATTCCAGCTTTTTAAATCTGGTTTTCTTAGTCTATGACAGTAAATGAAATAGCTTATGGTTTTCGATCATTTGTCCGAACAAAACAAGTCATTTAAGAGGTCACAACCGAAAACTGTGGTAAGCTTTTTTTTTTGCTATCTTGCATTTCATAGATTTAAAGATTAACCAGAAAAATAATCTGTATTTGCAACCCTAGCTGACTGAGCTTCTATTAAAGATTAACAGTACATTAAAGTTGCCTGATTATTCAGTCCACCAGCCCTGCTATAAATCCTAATGTCATGAAGGTTAGAATTTTTACTTGTTTCTCCCCACGTGCCATCACTCTGATGAACAGTTAATCCATATACGTTTAACAGGACAACAGCCCAGTGCAATCATTTGTAAATACAGCAATTGTACATAATAATGTTAAAATGTATATATATTTACAAGAAGACTTTCACCTGTTTTCTCCTATTCTCTTTCCATATTTCCTACTTTCTTGTTGACTTCCAAGCACACTGAGATCCTCTGTACTGGAGACAAATTCCTTGTGTGTATAAACATACGTTGCCAATAAAAGTGATTCTGATTTAGTTTATGATTTATGCTATTAATTCTGCTTTATGATCATTTTGGAGGCTGTAAATTGTGGTGCATTGTTTTTCCATACTTACACTTTGTCCAGTCTACTTAGACTAAATGACCAAAAGGTTACTTCTAAAACAGTTTAAACAAAAACAGATTATAACCCTCATAAAAGATAGGATTTATAGCAGGGCCGTTGCACTGAACTACAATACTTTCAGCTAAGTGTTTCAAATAAACTTGCAAAAGAGTGTAACTACATCACAGGCCAAAACACCAGGTTTCCTTGCAGAGGTTCTGTCTTACAGCACTCCCTCTATCTAGCCAGCCTTATGTGTGCTGAGAGGAATCTTAACTAGTCACTGCTAGTTATGTAACCCGATTTACTAATACACAGCTATGCGCACTCTCTGGTAGAGACCAAATGTGATAGGATACGGAATTTCTATAATTTTGTGTTGAAGATTTAGACTAGACTATTAAAGGAGCATGCCCATTAGCGCAGGTAATTAACACCACTAATATTTGACATAAGCTATGTGTATCGACTATGCTTTTGCTTTGCATTTTGTTTTCAAAACATTTTTGTAGCCTACAAATAATCGCTATCAAACTACACCTAGTCCACATCAACCCACAGACATCACCATCAGCCTGCATAGCTACCCCGACGCTTCTGCCCGATTCCTTCCGACTTTTAGAGCTGCACTCTAGGCTCACCAAACCCAGAAACGAAGGCTCTCCGGTGCTCCTCTTCAATCTCTCCTTCCCGTTACTGTCCGTTAATAGTGAGCTGCTCGGTAAACTCGCTCGCTCTCCTACCGTTGGAAACAATCACTGGGGCGCGTGCATCCATCACGAGCTGATGGAAGAAGGAGGAGAGCGCGAGCGATCCATCTGTTGTGGCGGAGCTCGCGGCACAGCAGCGTCGGGGGCCCAGGCCGGGAGCCAATCAGAGAGCGACCCTGACACCCCTTTGTTTGCGCTGAATGAAAACACGGAAACAATGGGAGAACCAGTGACAGAGCAGGCGGATACTACTACTCATTGGAAACCCCAATCTTATTGGAAGTGATACATGCGAGTAAAACTACAAATTATATTTAAACGACCAGTCAGACTTGGTGGACCAGTTTACAAAGCAAAAAAAAAAAAGAATGTTCATCTTTTTTCATGTTATAAGACGTATGGCAGCTCGTTCCTACCAAAATAACAATAAGGTAAACCAGGAAATGATCAGAGGTGGCAAGTAACTAATTATACAAGCAATACATTAATGTGAAATATTCCATTCTGAATAATGAGTACTTTCACTTTTTATACTTTAGATGCCAACACTTTTACTTTTTGAATGCCAACTGGAAATTATGTAGTAGGCAGGTGAAAAATAATCCATCAAGACATCCATATCATTCACAATTTTGTAGGAAGTTCCCTTATAACAGGTAACAAATTGCATAGGCCTTCTGAAATTTCCTAGTAATTACAGCTATATTCCATCTTATTAAGAAATAACAGGATTTTTACATGAATAAAATTTTAGATTGTCAAAATTTTTCGGATGACATCTCAGTTTTGGCTTTGCTACTTCATAATTATGACTGATATTTCCAAACATTTCCTGGTCTGATGCGAGTCCAAAGACAAAAAAGAAAAAGAAACATAAGCAAACAAAACACCACATTGACACACCACCATTAATAACTGAATAAAAGAATCCCTTAAATGATGGGGCGGTCTATAAATAGAACTATAAAATACATAAATTATATTAAAATATATTAAACTAACCAATATTTTTTATGAAAGTGAAACCATGTAGTTGAAGTGTTTCATGAGGCACCTGGGGGCTAAAGATTTTTCTTTTGACTGACCCTGGAGGGAAAACCAGAATCGGTATTAGTGACCAATAATGACATAAGACTGCATGAATTCTGTAACATCTTATTAAATTGTTTCAGGAATAAAGAATAAAACATTTTGTTGCTACAAGTAGTTTATACAATTTCTCTTGCAGCAGGTTTAGCAAACTTTATTCCATTAAATATACATTTATTTTTTACATCTAAAGTTTCTCAGATCTTTGATTTATACTGGTAATGCGATAAGGTTGACAGAAAGCAATGTTAGAGTAAAAAAAATATATATATAATATGAAAAGGTCCTAGCAAACAAACAGCAGGATTCTTCCATACCACAGATTCAAAATGTATTTGCTTTTTAAATAAAATAAAAAGTACAACAAACTGGTGCATTTTCTACCATGAATTAAGATTAAATGTATTATTTGTTACTTACAAATATCTGCTTGCAAAACAATGTTAAAAAAGAAAACAAAAAAGATAAAACATTTGTAACAAGTATATTCTTCAGGTAGCACCCCCTTCAAAATAACAAAAGGGGTTGATGTCTGTGTTGCACACCTTATGGCCACCTTTTTCAAAGCCATCTGTTGGTTAAACAGAATTGTATGTAATTCAAGCCAGAAAACCATCAAGGAGCTTCTGGAGCTGTGAAATCAAGGTGTTTTTACTTTTACTACTACTGTATCAACTGGAGGGTAAACGTTAAATCAAGAGGAAGCTGCCTTTAGGCACAAAATATCCCGTGCTCATCTTGTAAAGTGATAAGGCAGGTTCACTCAGCCGTTAAGGTGGCCAGATGGTGTCATCTCCTGCATCCAAAAACATCAACAGAAGGAATTCCAGGGAAGAAAACCACATATACTAAACATGAGAGGACAGGACTGGGGGGGGGGACAGAGGTGCGTGGAGAGATGATATAATGGGACAAGTAAATGCTGGTTGCATGAGCATGATGATGCTCAAACATAGGTCATGTGTTGTAATGTTATTTTGTGTATGCCATGTACTAAACATTCATGAAAACAGCCAGAAATGGTCAACCGCCCTACAGGTACTCCGCTCCTCTCTAAGAGGTAAGACACAAGAGGCTGTGACTGCTCTCTGATCATTCCTGGTCCTGGAGCAAAGTTATGCACGCAAGGAAGCCAATAACTGCTGGTGTGCCAAAAAACACACTGCTAATTTTACCAACCACCTTATAACACTGCATCTTATCTTCAGCTATCCAGCCGACAGTCCTGAGCACAGCCACCACTTGGGGATGGTGAGGTTTTAGATTTAGTTTTCCCACACATCAGTCCTCACCAGCTAGCCTAGTCCCACTTGTGACCCCTGCACTCCAGACTTACAGCATGTCTACGGTCCACAGAATGAAAACATTTGTTGAGGTGTGGATGTTTAAATCCAGCATTTCCACAGTCTGTGTTACAGAATGAATTCACTCGATCAGATTCTATGACTCAGTTAACATTTACCATTGCAAATGGGTCATACTTTAAGACATACTGCAATTTAACAGATGTTACTGAAAACAATGTCTCCATAATGATTATAGAAAAACTGAATAAATGAGTGGCCTCATTTATGACAGTGCCCATGTCCGATTTTGGCAACATCTAAATAAATGTTTCAGTATACTGAAAACACTTGCTGGCAATATAGCTACAGGAGCTGAAATTCCTATTTGGGTAACAGATTTTGGTGAAACAACACATTGTCAGTATAGTGCTACAGGCTTGCTAAAGTACATCCTATAAAGTAGAAGAGCAGAGCAGACCACAGAGTGGGTAAAAACTGGACTTTAACATTGTTTTTGTCCTGAGCAAACATTTTACTACTCAGGACATAAAGCTGACATCCGTACAACTGCAGAAAAAAAATACATTTGAAGGTGTAACCAATCTCTCAGTAGCAGGTTAAAAAAAATGAATTGGGGGGGGGGAATAAACAAAAAGCTTGTTCCTGTAAATTGTGACCAAATCACCAAACTAATGTGAGGAGTGCTGAGGTCATAAATGCAGCTATAGCTAGTTATGAAATCAGACCAAGGACCAAAAATATTCAGTCACTAGATGTTTCAGCCACTTATCTTCAGACAAAACAAAAAAAAGGTTCATTCATCACTATAAATCTGTATAAACACTCTCATGGCATTTTAGGGCCCAAGATTAGTATTATTCACTCCATAACGCTGTGTTCTTGGCACCAGCACATGTGCAAACAGTACTTGTAAAAAGGCCCTGACTCTCAAGTATCCAGTGCACCACTTAAAAGTGTTGTCACTTGTGTTTAAAAATGACATCATACAATAGGAATGAAATAGAAGCAACTCACATCTTATATTAGAAACTGCCTTTATAAAAAGCTGCTGTCCCCAGGTGAGTTTCTAAAAGCACCGACAGTAGCTGAGGCTGAGGTTCAGGAGTCGCAGTTGCTCACCATCATACTGATCTTTACAGGGCATGAACAAGTAAACTAATAATAAACACTGTGCAAGAGACACAAACCTGCTTCAAGCAATCTAAATGACTTTCTTCTCATAAATAAATAAATAAAAGAGATAAAAGATGAGCACATCTGGGATGAGAGTTCAAACAAATTTAGCCAGTTTCACAACAGCAATAATGCCAATGCTTAATAGGAAGAGTCTGATCTATAGTAACAACAATAAGAAGAAATAAAAATAAAGAGCTTTTACATTTTGGTTAGGTAAAAATCTCAGCTGGGCTAAATAGTTTTCTTCTGGCTGTTCTTTCTCAACGTGCTACTTTTTTTATTTACCAAAATTATACTGTTGCAAACTTCATTTAAAGCAGCAGAGGCACATGGTGTGGTCAAATTAAAAGACATACTATCCACACATGGGTCAATATTGTAAGGGCTGCTGAAATATGCTGCTACTCAGCCAGATGTGCAGCTAACTACAGATGTGAACACTAACAAACATCAGCAGTTATCTAACTGAAATGGGACAGGAGTGGGAGGTGTAGAGTTGAGTGAAGATAGGAGGAGGAATACAAGAGAAAGTCGCTGACAAATTAAATAAGTGAAAACTTAATGAAACCAGTAAGTCATGATCAGCTGAGTCGATCCAGAGAATAAAAGGCAAACTTAAACTCTCTAAACCCCTCTTACTGCATTTAAATGCTCTATATCCCAACAAAACCACCACTCTTACTGTTTAATGCAATTATGCAAGGGCTAACTACACACTGATGGAAATATCATGATCTCAACAGAGACAGGAGTGTAGTACTTATGATGCAGCCTTTTAAAATCCTACGTTAACACACACACACACACACACACACACACACACACACACACACACACACAGAAGACCAGTGGCAAAAAAGTGTGATCCCTTTGAAACTTCTGATCGGATCTTCATCTAGTACAGACGCACTAATAACAAACAATTAAAATCTTCCATATTGTTATTGAACACACCCATTAAATATGGGTGGAACAAGTAGGTGAAGCCTGGCATCCAGCAACTGTGAATCAGACCTGCAAAATATTCAGGAGGAATTTGACCATTTTGGACCTCAGAGCGGCTTCAGCTCTCTGAGCTCATTCCACAGCATCTCTACTGGGTTAAGGTCTGAGTGGCAATCAGATTCCCCCCCCCCAAATTAGATTAGGAATAAAGTCTGAGCTGCATGGGGTATTCAATAAAGGCAAGCATACCAAAGGATTCACTTTTTCTTGCCACTGTAATTCTCCTGCCATTCATAGGCTCTTTCATAAGGCCCCGTCTGTGTAACTGTGTGCCATTAGCTGCAGCCATCACAGCAGCAGAAGCATTATTAAAAGCCTGCTTCATTATGTACTGTACATGCCTACATATAATGATGTGAAATAGGCAAACTAGGATCACTAAAAAAAAAAAAAAAAAAAAAAAGAACCTTGCAAAATGTTATTTTGCTGCGTAATGAAGGAAAACAAGTCCCATTTGACAGCAAAGTGACACGCAGGTGTGCTGAGGGAAAGTAGAGTTTTGGTCTTATTAGTAAATGATGCACCGACACAATGAGGAGATGTAAACTGGTATGTTAGTGAGTTTTTGCCCAATCACAGGGTAGTTCCTGTGATTATTAGCATTCTATTACAGTACATTAGAAATGGAGGATGTGAAGCTCTTTAACACTGAGATCAGTGGATGTGATGTTCTGCTAAAGGCCAAAAAAAAAAGAGATTTACTAGAGAAATGGGGGAGCCAGCTGGGGAGTAACATTCTTGTTTTGAACACAGGAGGCAGATAGTGCAAAAATAAATTTCACAATCACTGTGCATGGGCACCTGACAAACCACTTCCATCAGTCTGCATGACTGATGTGCACTGTAGCACTCAAGCTAATTTTGGTGAGACTGCTGGGGCATGTGCATGTCTTTAATACAGTTGCATAAAAATCTCTGTATAATTCTCAATGGATGTAATCAGACCTACTCTGCTTTTAGGACAGTATGTTTTAGAAAATAGCTTGGGCAGGATATGATAGGAGTGAGTTATCAAATATTCAGCTTTGAATGTCTGACACCCATCTATCTCCTTCTGGATTAAAGTGCAAACCAATTAATGTACAGTCCTGTTATCTCTTTCTCCATACAGTACACATGCACACACACACCAACTAACTCTGCATGGTGACATCTTTGCTAGCATGCTTGAAATAGCACTGTGGGAAGTGGGAAAAAAAGACAGACGAGCAACAGAATAAACATACTGACGGGGTTGGTGCATCCCATTTTCTTTCACACAATCCTGAACCCTGTCCGTCCTCAATACCAACCCTTGTTCCCCAAATTCAACAACATGTAAGAATTTCAGCACCAGCCCGCTGGCTATACTTGACTCTCTCTGGGTGTTGTGCTTCCCTCCCCTCCCATCACTGCATCCCCATGTCCCATTCTGCGTGTGCAAGCTTTCTGTAGCCTCCCGCACTTGTATCCTGTGAAAGTGGGGCTAATTGGGAAGTACTTAAAAATAGGGTGTCTGCGGAGGAAGTCCATTCCAAACGGCAAGTCATAAGACCTCATCCCTTCCAGTTCTGCTGCACTAAGACCAGAGCCACGTTTCAGCTGCCCAAGGCCTCGTTCTGTAGGTGAACCTGAAAAGAAAAGTGAGAAAAACTTAATCACAGTTATTCACAAATACGGTAAAAGTCCCAATGAATTTGGAAAAACAAATATTCCCTTGTTGCTATGATCGTATGATCTGTTTGAAGACACAAAGAAATACAAAGTCAGAGATGCTACATGTTCAATTCTACCCTGAAGTACAATTTATCCATTTGCCCATTAATTCTCTGTTGCTTATCTGGGTTCAGGTCACAGTGACGTCCTTCTCCCTGTTATGTCTCCCAGCTCTCCCTGAGGAATCTTGAGATGATCCTGGATACATGACCACCCCAGCATACTCTCCCTCTAAGTATATCTTTACCTGCTTGGCAGTCACAGCCACATTATTATGTTTAGTTTTTTTCCCTAAAAGTGTTACACATACTATAAACTACCATTACATTATCTTCCATATTAATATCATCAAATAAAATGTATATAACATTGCAAAATCATTTTAGGGTGCATTTCTTTTTAATATTATCACTTTAGACTTTGCCAAGTGGGAAGTGAATTAAACACCTTACCAGGGATAGTATTATCCAAAATGAAGGCAACAGAGCCTCCGACAAACATGGCAGTGGTGAGGAGCACGTTCAGCACTTGGTCAACCTCAACTATGCCTGAGAAAGATAAGGGAAAGGACTTTAGTAGCAGACTAAAATATGTGTTAGTGTGTACACTCAGTCAGATTACCAACAACAAATTATCCAAAGTAACAAGTCAACGTATGTACTTGGAACATATGTGTGGGATTATTCATAACAGAGAAAGCTGAGACAGCGATGTTCCACCTAGACCTATCAGTTTTAAGTGATGAATTTAGAGAAAACATCTCAAAGGGTGGAGAGAACTACAGCTGGATGCAAATGCAAGGTGGTACAGAAAAAAAGACAAGACAAAGCTAAACAGAAATACTGTCAAAAAATCAGTAGCAGTTTCTTGAGTAAATGCAAGCAAATCCCACCACCTGAAACACAAATTCATAAAAATTACATTAATGGTCAAGAAGTAAACAAAAACAGTATTACACAAGCATTTAAAACTTCACTGTACATCTTTAAAATGTCCTACAAATAGAATGAGATAACTACAAGGATGGAGAATCCTGTGCACAGGTTTATTTAAAAAGAGATGTTTCCATAACTGTGACAACCTTAACGTTGACCGATATAGCGCAACCTTAGCTTGTATGCTGTTGTATACAGCCCCCTTTCCTTCACCTGGTACAGGCTCAACTCAGCTCTGCTCAGCTACACTCACTTTTGATAGCAGGTGCTTTGTTTTCCAGTGCAGACAGGCCCCCCCCACAGTGTAGCTGGTTGTCACAGCAACTCCACGACACTGCCGTGAAGTCACTGGCCCATGGTGTTGGCAGGGCAGGCTGAAAGCTGTTATAATTTTCAACCTATGATTGTTATTATGCCTTTTTTTTTTTTTTTTAAAATGGTCAATCCAAGTAATGCCATTTACCAGCCGGTACCAGGCAGTGGGAAAAGGCCCTCATGTCTCCTGTCCACTCACCAGTGACCAGCGGGTTCTCTTTGAGGTAGCTTGGCAGCATAAGGCCGAAGAAGATGGAGAATCCCAGGACAAAGAGGTTCCTGGAGGAATTGAGGTCAACAAACTGCAGGTTGGACAGTCCCACTGCTGTGATCATGCCAAACAAGGTGCAGAACAGAGCTCCCAGCACAGGGTCAGGCAGAGAGGCAAACAGGGCGCTGAATTTACCCACTAGCCCCAGCAGCAGCATCATGGCAGCTCCATACTGAATCACACGTCTGCTGCCCACCTGAAGGAACAATCACAGATAAGAAGGACCTTAGGCAAAACCAGTTGGGGTGAATCGGGAAGAGAGATGGGATGAAAGGGTTGATAAGGTGGGGCCTTCGCTGGCAAGTCAAAACGGAGGATTTGCCAAATTAAGGTCTGAAACAGTTTCAATGATAGTCAACACTGACTGTTGTGTTTGATATTACACATTAAGTTAAAAGTACATATCACAGAGCAATTTAACCTGACAGCTGAATGAAAAAGGATGATCAGTATTCACAGTAATGGATGTTGATGGGAGCAGGAAACCTTCACCTTAATGGAGTGAAATAGTATGAAGTGTTACTTGGTTTACTGTAGGGCTGGAACCAATCATTGTCTAGTCATTTGCCTATTATTTTGTCTATAAATGGCAAAAAAACTCATCAAAACACTCATTACAATCTACCACGGTGATTTCTTCAAATTGCTAATTTTGTCTGAAAAAAAAAGCCTCAAACAAAGAATATTTAATTTACAATGACATAAAATCCTCATATTTAAGATGCTGGTACCAGCATTTTGGTTTCAAAATGTGTCTAATGCAATAGATAGTTTATCAAACTGCCAACTGACTAAACACTGATGTAGATTAGTTGTTTGACCAAGTAAAACATCCTGGTTAAAGCAATAAATTAACTTAATGGGTTTGTGCAAAGTGGGAGGTGTACAAAATCCTTCTCAATGGGGTGGGACATCACATAAACACAATGTAGAAATAAAACACAGTGAGGATATGGTCAAAAACAAAAAGAATAAAAAGGTGTGTTACCTTTGTGATCCCTAGGACACCTATATTTGGACTGGAGGAGGTGGAGCCATTTCCTGTCCCAAACAGACCATCCAGCACACAGGAAATACCCTCCACAAAAATCCCCCTACAGAGACAGAGGGGAAAACAGTCTAACTACAGTGTTTGACAGACAGGCTGCACTTTGCAACCTACTGGAGTATAAAAAAAGAATGAAGAGTTTGAGATAAACTGTAAAACTACCTGTTAATGGCATGGATGGGAGGTGGAGGAGCACAAGAGAGACGAGCGCAGGTGTAGTAATCCCCGATCGACTCGATGATGCTCGCCACTACAGCACTCATCATACCAATCACACCAGCAGTTGTGACAGTGGGAACGCCCCACTGGACTATAAAGGTCAAAGCACAGTGTGGGTCAAAGATGAAAAACTGCTGCATTTAAACAGAAAATATGTTTTACGTAATACTTTTTGTCTCATCTGTTATCAGTTAAAACACTGACATGGCAGTACCTGGTTTCATCCTGTACATTTTATATTATTCGGTTTGCATATCAGTTACCAAATTTCAAACTTAAAAAAAAACAAAAAAAAAAACAACATTTAATACTATATAAAATACAATTCAATACTTGTTTAATTTCCAGTACTATCCTGTGGTATAACAACAATTTCTACCGACATAATTAAAATAATGTGATCAGAATGCATATAAATGGCAGTTTGCACAATATATGGTTACTCACATTGTACTGACTGTGTGCAATTACAATAAAGATTAATCTTACGCTGTCACATCACAGATTCTTTACTATAGTGACAATTAGAACGTGCGAGATATGTCAAAGTCCAAGAAAACTGTCTGCTGCTCTTATATATTGTACTGGGACTGAACAGCAACAAATCAATCCACAGTTCTGCATTTACAAAGATGGCTAGACATCCGACTGGTCAAAACCATTCATGTCTATCTGCAACTGGATCGATCACACCTACTGGAGAAGAGCCGTGACATCAACAATCAACTCCAACAGCAACACCCGTCCCACCCACGAACGCACTTACAGGGATATGGGATCTTGAACCACGGTGCAGCTGCAAGGATCCCTTGACGTGCGTCTGTGCGGGCATAGAAACCGTACTTGTCCTTCTCCGGTGGGAAAACGTCAGTCACAGTGAAAATGAAACACAACAGCCATGACACCAGGATGGCCATGATGATCTGGGCACAAGAGAAATAGAAATCACATTAAAGACCAAGTTAAAAAAAAACAAATTAAAAAAAACATTTTACCAGAACCAAATCCTGCATCCTTGTGTCACTTGTTTGAGTCCATCTTGTTATAAAGTAAAAAAAAACATCTTTATGGGCTATTTTTATATCAAAATATCTCCTCTTCCTGTTGTTTTAAAATATTTTTGATGATTCCTCTTAAACATTGGAGCTGTTACACAAATTTAATCAATGAAATACATCAAACCACACATTACCATTAGCTTGTTGGTTATAGTATCTGACAGAGCAGTATCACAGTAGAAGGTGTGTGGCAAAATCTTTGCTCACATTTTCAAGAGAGTGTGGTTTAGCTGATCTAGTACCACAGGCGGAGACACTACATTTCCTAAACCACACCCACCTCTGAGTGAACCACACTACACTCTGAACACAAGATAAAGCTGCTATAACTTCCATTTCACTGTGACTTGTGAACTTTTATTATTAGCACAATTTAATAGTGAAAATAAGTGAACTGTGCACCAATTTGCTATGGTATGATAGCTGCTATAAAATCAAGTCCACTTAAACATTTTTATGGTTTAGAGTTTAATTAAAAAAAGCCAGACAGCAACAAGAAGCCCGTTGAGGTGACAAGTATAAATCAGACAGCGGTAACTGATGCGACTCCAAGACCTTTTTAATTGTTTATTGTATCACCAGCAGAGGGCAGACAGAGACCGATTTATCCACTGCACAGAGGAAGGCAAAGAGAAAACCTCTTAACCTCCTAGGGAGGAATGAGATTAACTGTGCTGAATAATTTGTGACTTAGATGGGAATACAATTTATGGTGGAGGCAGGGGAGCAATGCTATAGAAAAATGCTAATTCACAAAAAAATAAAAAATAAGAATAAACAAAAAGGGAACCAAAACTGCCAAGACAATTTTTTTGCCAAAGTCAAAAACCTGAGGTAGGAATGTGCTTTACTAAAATGTGGTGTACTTACAGGAAACATTTTGAAGACCTGCAGCCTATAGGATGTCCAGCCTTTCTCGGCTTTGTAGATCGGGAGAGGAAAGTTAACATTTCTGGCATACTGAGAGAAGACCAGCACCAAGAAAATAGTCCTGCACACAGTTATGGGAAATCACAGTCAAAACAGTGCCTTGTTATATTCTACACTGTATATTATCCCGTGTGACATCAAATCCTGTATGAACATGTTTTCTGTTGTCTGAATCTGATGGGGACCACAGGCACTTCATATCCAATTAATTACCCCAACTCCCTGAAAAAAAAAAGCAAATCAGTGGCTACTGGAGGCACATATCCTCCGTCTCTGTGGAACGAGAGGAGAGGCCCTCCAGCTATGGTGTGAACAGTTGTGACACAGCAGGAACTGATGTCACACCACCTGAATATCACAGCTTAGAAGTGGATATTCCCCCATGAGTCAGTCTTCTGTGTCTTTGCAGTCAACTATGCAAGATCAAGTGCTTCTTTCTGCCCTAGACTTCCTCTAAGTAGTTCATTCTTCAGCTGCACAAATATTCTCTGTAAGAAGGATAAAATGTATTTTGCTGATGTAATCACAGTAGATTAGTTGAATCAAGTGAATGGGCTAAATGTTACCATGTTAACACAACTTTGTACAAAGTCTTTTCATGACGACGCACATGAAACATGTCCTTTATGAACATGACTAAATGCACCACTGCCCTGTTGCACCACTGCGGCAGAGAACCACCTCAGTCATGATCAAAACATACAAAGGGACAGCAGAAAAGTGGATTTTAGTGTTTTTGTTGACAGCCGAAAGTGTAATGCTTTGCACCAGAGTATGTACTTACATCATCGCAATGCCCCAGTGTTTTCCAGCCCTCTCCCCTGCGGCCTGGAAACCAGACAGGCCGATGAGGGCCACAGTCGGGGTGATGGTCAAAGGTCCGATGTACTTAAGCAGGATCCCGGGCAGGCCCAGTGCTCCGATACACACCTCAACCAGGGACGACACTATAATGGCCCCCTGGATCTGACAGAACAAATAAAAGGAGGTGAAGAGTCAGTCTGCATTTGGTACCTCTGAGTTATAATCTTGTTTGCCCTGTGAGTTTTCTTCTGTCACCTCTTACCACCTACAGGATATTCCTGCCCATCGATGCTCCATTTAACAGCTTGATTCTGTCTGTGTGAGCCAGTAATTGGTTTTTGTGCAATGTGTGAACAAGACTAAACTCAAACAGAAAAGGTTAATGCAAATTAACTGCTCCTGTCACATAAAGCCAAACCCCAAAGCCATATACTGACAATAATGTTCCCTTTTGGAAAAGGGGGGAGGGGGGATTGTAAAGCTGATTATTAGCTTATTCAACTACATTCAGTACACAAAAATTGCCAAAGAATGCAATCTCATTCAGCTCAGTATACAAGTTAAATTAAGTTTACCCATTATTTGGCCCAAAAGAGAGGGGTGTCAGGCCATGCTGTCATAAATCTTCAGCTACACAATAAGCAACACCATATGTGTCTTGACACACAGCATTTGCTCAGGTTAAGCAGTGGCTGGACCAGCTGGCTTGTAATGACAGTCACCTCTGAGAGCTGGGTCCACTCAATTGTCTATCCACCGACATTGTTCTACCAAGAGTGTCTAACAAAAGAAGATTATTAACAATTCCAGTGAGTCTGTGACTAGATTATCACCAACACAAGTTCTGTGTGGGTGCAGGAGTGAAGGCAAGTCTACAGGGTCATCAGGTTGGCGTCCTCTCACTAACTAGTGTTTTGTTGAGTTGGGCCCACGACACTGAGAAGGCTCAATAGTGTGTTCCAGCGTCCCAGAACCACCCCCTCTTTGCCTGCACCCACACAATCCTTCATCTACTCAGGCTAACGGTTACCAAACAGTCACTAGCACAAGCAAACATTTCAAATGCTGTTCTAGCCACCAAACATTTAAAATAATAGCTCACCAGATAACTAGCCAGACTTCTGATTCCTTTTATACTGCATCAGAAACCTGTGTTAGCATTCATTCCAACAAATCAGTCAAACTTCTACCTTGTCCTCATGTTAGCTTGCTGCATGTATCAAACACTTTTACTAAGCCTCCTATGCTAGTTTACATCAGCTTTACAGGTATAATCCTCACTTATGTTTCCATTTATAAATCACTGGCCCATTTTACCCCATTCACACCTTTCTTCTGTTCCAGAGCCACTCACTGGACCTTACTGTGCGACCAGTTGGATTCCTAGTTACATTTTATACCCAACTCATCTAGCAGAGAGACAGCTGACTTGACTACAAATCCCCTACAACCAACCTCCATGGGGCGGACTTCAACTTTCCAGCCACACCTCAGGAACCGACTCCCTAAATCCACTTTCATTTGCCAATCTCTCCCTGCCTTTACGTGGTCTGCACCCTGCCTGTTCAAAATGACTTGCTTCCCATCTTTTTCACCCTCATGAACAAACAAAATGCCCTCCTGTTTACAAACTATACTATAGCTGTGTAAACATTTGCATAAGGTCATTCAACTCCAGTTAAATATCATTAACATTTTGTCAAACATCTAATCTTTTTGGGCTTCCTTCCCCTGCTCCCTTTCACATATGACTGAGTCTTTCATTTGTCTTTTTGCCTCACCTCTCGTATCCTGGGGTGCCAGATGTGCTCTGTGTGGAGGAGCTCTGTGCTGTTCAATGCTGGAATCTCTGCATGTGGAAAAGGCAGGGGGATGAGAGATTAGACAATGAAAGCACTTGATAAAATCACTATGTGAACAATAACTCTAGTCACTAAAATTGAGCACACATGTGAACTGGCTAACCCCTTTTAGAGCCATTAAGGGCTGTGCTTTCTCCACAGGCTTTGATACTGGCAGCATTTGGGTTCAAAGTAAACAAAGATTAATAACCCACAGGTTACATCAGATGGGGGTGTCCTTACTGAATGAGTCAAGAGTGAGGGACAGAAGAAAAGTTACCTGTAGAATTACACTTCCACTTGTCCAGTGATAGGATGGCTCTGGCTGGTGCAAGGAAAGCAAAAGCACTGGCCTGGAACAGAGGCAACCTAAATACAAGAAAAGCACAGATTAGAAATGATATTATGTGCCTGAAGAATCACATAAATGAGCAACAGTGAGAGTTAAGATTACACAGCAAGCAGGGTGACTGTGTGTAGAACCACCAAGTTCCAATTTCAAGTAGTGGGATAGAGATCTCATGCCATTCTTGCTACCTACTGCATTATTCCAATGTTGTCATTTTTTATATTCACTGTTTGGAGTGTGACAGACCTTCAGGTCTTTTGTTGGGTAATCTAGGAAGAACAGTTATCACTGGAACAGATTTCTCTTCCTCCATTTTCTTCCTCTTTCACTGAAGCCCTTCACTCATGCACTTTGTCCTGTCACATGTCGTCAATCATGCGCTATAGTCTGGCTGACCTTTACAAATTACAACTGGAGTGGGCAGTCATGACAGTAAAGAGGCATCATAAGATCTTATCAGAGATCAAACCGGAGGGGGGGAAAAAAAAAAAGAACAAAGAAAAATCGACTGTAATGACGTTAGTGGAACATTAGTGAAAATGGCAAGGCCAGAAATAAAAGCAGGTGGATCAGCTAGAAAAAAAAAAAGAGCCGAGACATTGATATTCTTTAGAGAGGAAGTGAACACTCATTATAAAACTGTATGAATAAGCAGCACAGCTGTTTGTTTCAATCTAAAAGTTTCAGTTCCATAATAAATTCAAATCAGATCTTTGTCAAGTCTCAAAACCCAATGACATGGCAGATTAGGCCGAGACAGACCCATTGTTTATTTGAACGAAATGTGTGGTTCAGAGACGGTGTGCATCCATTTGTCTTTAACTGACATGGTTTACATATAGTTATAATTTGTGTATAATGACATTACTTACACAGCTGCTTATTTCCAAGGTGTGTACAAAGCCAAATCAAAGGAAACGTTAATGGGTAGGATACTGTAAAAGCTAGTAGTAGTTTCAAAATTTAGGAATCTAGGTGCGAGACAAGACAAATAGTTTATTATTGTTGCTGACAATCTAAACAGTGAACATCATGAAATATAAAGTTTTGTGGCTCTAGAGGTTGTGAACAAGCTGTTTCCAGTTGTTGTTTTTTTTAAAACACCATGACTCTTTCAAAAAACAAAAACGTTTGTGAGCTTTCCACTACGTTTGTTTAAAAAACGTAGATAGTGTTTATGCACCTATTTCAACAAGGCATCAGTCAAGGCCATCGAGTTGGTGTCAAAAAGATCAGCGAGTGCCTATGTCTGTCTGAATTTGAGATGAATTAGCTGCTGCACACTGTGAACAATAATGGCAGCACCAACAATCTGCCACACCATGATGGAAAGATTAGGTTTATTACAAAAATGGCAACAGTGCAGGTTTACCTCGCTGAACTGCTCTGCTTGTATGAGGAAAAAAAAATATGACACCTCATGCCAGCATGGCCAGGCTTTTATTAAAGCACCGATCCAAAAGATGGGATATATCCATGGCAACGGGTACAGTCTCATTTCAGCTGGTGAACAACAGGACTGATAAAACCCTCAGAGATTAATCAGATGAATGACTGGCTATGAAACAAACCCAAACCAGATGACACCATGTATGAGCAACGACATACATAAATAAGAGTGAAGGAGGGGTATGTGTAGGCTGTCAGCGGGGTGTCATGAGGTGAAATATGTGTGTAAACATGAGGAAATCAAGTACCTGAGATTTAAAGAATGTAATAAATGTGGGAGAAACTAGTTGCTCCTGACATTTGCATATGGGAAAGCACTAGCTTCTTTTGGTTAAACCAACTCCGACAAAGACAATACTTTGTTTAATCCACTGTAACTACAAGTGTAATTCCCATGTAGCTCACTCCTGTGCCATTTTGTCAGCTTTCTGGAATCTCTTCAGTGGCTGTGACCGGTGCCTTAATTGAGAAACTACATGCCTTTACTGTGAGGTTGACTTTGTACTCTGTAGCAAAAGATAATGTCTCAGCTGCAGGGGACAACCACAGTTATGTGAACAAGGAAAATAATAACTCATCGCATTCTGATATGAATAAATACAGATACAAAATTAAAAAAATAATGTAATAAATGTGGGAGAAACTAGTTGCTCCTGACATTTGCATATGGGAAAGCACTAGCTTCTTTTGGTTAAACCAACTCCGACAAAGACAATACTTTGTTTAATCCACTGTAACTACAAGTGTAATTCCCATGTAGCTCACTCCTGTGCCATTTTGTCAGCTTTCTGGAATCTCTTCAGTGGCTGTGACCGGTGCCTTAATTGAGAAACTACATGCCTTTACTGTGAGGTTGACTTTGTACTCTGTAGCAAAAGATAATGTCTCAGCTGCAGGGGACAACCACAGTTATGTGAACAAGGAAAATAATAACTCATCGCATTCTGATATGAATAAATACAGATACAAAATAAAAAAAAAATCAGACACATGATACTGTGAATGCCCACTTAATTTACTGTATATGTTGTGGTGTGCTGGGAATGTACCGTGACAAAAAAAAGGATGAGAAGTACCAACTTAAATGCGTGCACACTCGTAAATGCACTAGAGTGACAAGAAGTGGAAGGATGGAGAAAGAAGAACCTCATGTTGACAGCGGCTCCTGTCTTTAAGTGGTGAAAGAGAGAGAAAGTGGGAGTGGGGATGGGTTCACAAAGACTTAGACTTAAAACCTTTTAGCTACTGCAAAAAACTCAATACTTATTTCATGGTCCTAGTGGTCAAAGAATGACAGAAAACTAAAAAAAAAAAGTAGGCCTACATGACATATAGAAAAGCTGCATGTTAGCGTTTCTGTGTAGCCACAAACCTTTTGTATGCACAGGAGCATGTGTGTATTCATGAAAGCCTTTCCATGCCCAGGTGAGACAGTACTGTTTGAGAGTGTGTACCTGCAGCCCAGCGTGGTCTGTAGCAGGGTGGTGATGCCGACACAGAAGAAGATGGTCCCTATGAGCTGACTGGTGGCCCACTGATCGAACCCAACGCACATTGCCTCAGCGAGGAGGAACGGCACCGCAATAGTTCCACTGAAACATGTCAAGTAGTGCTGCAAAGACGAGCCACAGATTCAGTTTGTGTATATACCTCTTAGTTTTATATGATTCTGAGGTTTGTACCCGACAGATTGTCAACATTGCACAGTACAAAAACCACCAAGATATAATCCTTAATAAAGCCCTCAAATTACACCTGACAACTGTGAACAAATGTAATGCTCAAGACGTATGCATAACAACACTGAGTGATCATGGAAATTATGATGGAGCTTCACCTTTACATGAAATCGCCTGGAAAAGAATGTTGTATTTAAATGAGTATCATTCATCAGACAACAGTATGAGTCACAATTTTTTTTTTAACACACACTTAATCCCTGTACCAAGCCCTCATATTCCCAGAAAAGGATTCAAGTATGCTCTGTAACCCACAAAAACACTTTGTCTCTACTTTGATGGAACAAAAGTCGAGTTTCAGACAAAACACTGCGGTCACACAGTGACGATGTTAACCAACCAAACCACCACCATGAGAAAAAAAAATTCCTATTTGTGTGTCTAGCGCCTGGTTCCGTAGTGAACACTGGGGAAACAATACTGCACTGAGTTGACAAGTACTAACAAAGTAAGGACATGACACATCCCAATTATACAGGGCATGTGTAGGCAAATGTTTTTCAGTCCATGTGGGGAGATAATTCCAGTTTACACGCATCTGTTAGTCAGGCAAAGAAAGCACACACAGACAGAGAAAGTCAGCCATGAAGCTTTCTGAAGACACAAACAAACAAATTGTTCACCTCAGTCTGTACATTTACCTGTAAGCCTAAAAACACACACAGGTACCAGGGTGGGGTGTCTTCAATGATATAAATCATATCCATTCTCCTTGCATCCACACCGTCTCTGCTGTCCAGCGTCTCAGACATTGAGCTCTACACACACACACAAAGAAACAGGATGAATGCTAATCATCATAATTTATATCTTTCTTGACATGTTGATTCCACATCCTGTACACTTCGCTTGAAAAGGTCAGAGTAGTCTATTATCAGAATTTCTTTATACAAACGTAAAGAGAAACGGAGCCAACAGTGTCAAATGTTGATGTGAGAATAGCATGTAGATATGAGGAAGGCTACATTTTATCAATGAAAAGAATGTGAGGGGGGAAAAAAGTCATGGTGAAACTGAGTGAAGGAGCACAGAGCATGACGTCATTCTGCCAACAATGGAAAATGTGCAGTCACAGTGACAAGGAGAAAAGCAAACAGGAGGAGGAAAAGAGGAAATTAGTTTGATGAGTCGGACCATATCTGGACCCATTTCATCATTAGATCTTTTCTCTTGCACCTCAGAGACTCAAATACCCAACAGCCACTTTGACTAGCTCTGACAATAAAATACTGCTTGTGTGTTAATGTAGCAGTAATATTAAAAATACCATAGAGTATAATAATGCAAGACTTGGGAAAAAAGGCCACTCTGCCCCATTGAGCACTTAATTTCCATGCTGCAGGTACATTTTGCTGGAAAGACTTGTAATTTTACTTCAATAAAGTCTGAATGCAGGACTTCTATTTACCTTTGTCACAGAGTATTTCTACTTTACTACTGAAGTAAAAGACATGAGAATCTCTTCCACCATTTCTGAAATCTTAAGGATTAACGACATAGGGGATGTAGGGGAAAGGTGAGTGAGGAAAACAAGTCATTGAAAGTGTGATGCCAAGTGTGATTAAATAAAATTACAGTATGCAGTATAAATATGGACCTGTAACTGTGAGTAAGCTTTTTAAACCAGGTGACTATGTGTCAGTCTGCTTACACAAAGGTCTATCTGAGAGCAAACTAGCATCCTGGAAAACTAGTGACACATGATAATTATGTTTAGATTATCCATGTTTGTTCTCATGTTACCTTTTCTGCTCCTTGATTATCTTTAGTGTAGATGGCCATCAGCTCTGTGTTCTCAGTATCCTGGTCTCCACTGGCACCGCCCAAACCATTTACCACCACCTAACCACACAAACATAAAAGAACACAATTTAGATTGGTTTATGGTGTCAGTTATTTTTTCTATGAAAGAGAAATCTTAATTACATTTTGGCAATCCAACTTGTGAGAATGACGTCAATAGTTTTTGTCTGGCTGACAAAGCCACATAAAAACAGGTGAGGTGAAGGATTGTGAAAGTCCAAGTACCTATTCACCATAGTATGCTGTGTGAAAACCACAAACGTGTCAGGTCAAATTAAAGGCAGAACTACATGTCGCAACCTGGGCATAGACACGTGCTTCCAACAGGATGCAAATCTGTCGCCCTACAGCCAAATGTCTTCCACAGAGTATGTGTGCGATTAAGTGCGGTGTCAGAGTGTGTGCTTATCCTCTGTATTTCCCAAAGGTATCCAGGTCATGTTACTCAAAAAGTTTAGGTCATTATAAAACAGAAATCATTGTTAGGAAAATTAAAACCATTAAAAATACTTAAACACAAAACAACTTTTGAGTATTGTCATGCCTGAAGGACCAGATGCAAAGAGACAACAGTATGCAAACTGTGGTACAATGAGATTTTTATAGCAGCTATGAGATCCCTGCTGAGAAAACCTCAGAGAGGGCGACCGACTTCTCCACATGTCGCCAGACTAGTTTACCTACAAGGTTAAACACACAGCACTGTTGGAGATGAATGTCTGTAACCCAAGGGACAAACATCTCTTCACAATACTTCAATGGGACAACATAAATGCTAAGGAAAGTTTAGGTTTCTATCACATTTCCTTTGCTTTGTGTTCTACTAAAGGACACGGGTGAAGCCTACCGAGTGCAAACAAGGGTCACAGTCAAGATGTTTAAAGCTTTATCTTCGTTTCACGCAGTGGTGGAAACTGTGCAGATCATTTAAACTTGCATTAACAGATATTTTTGGGAGAACAGGCTATAAAACACCACTGATATCACTGACTTTTAAAGCTGATACAATGTCTTAGCAAACAGTTGTCTGTGAACACATCCAGCAGATATGGCACTGGACAACAGATGAATGTAACTTTGCTAGGTTGTTTAGCTCCGTTTTGATTACCACCATCTTAGATTTAACTTTACTGTTTTAAAATCCTATTTATGTGCATTTTTGCCTTTATTAACCACTGGGTCACAAACAAGAAATGAGGGAGACACAAATGTCAGCAGCCAAACTTGAACTGCTGAAGGTTTGCGTGATTGACCACCCACACACATAAATACATTCCAAACACAAAGCAAATCCGAGCGTGCGAGTCAAAGAAAGACAGAGATGGTTGGAGGAGAGGAAGGTTGCATGCACACTGACCCAACCCTGTCTTTGTTCAGCATGTGAGCCTGCTTCAGGCTTGTTCATGATGTCTCTCTGGAATTTTTAATGTGGGAAATTTCTTTAACAATAAAAAGACAATTAAACACAGTTGTGTACCGGAATAGGGTAGAAATCTGCACCACATTTGCCCTCCTCTTCATATTTTCCTCCCTCACTGCTGCTGTCCATCGACTTGCTGGTATTCTTCCCCACACCCATCTGTGTGTCTTCGATGTAGTCGTCCTCGTCCTCTTCTTTCTCTGTCCACTCCCTGTTTTGCTCTATTGTGACCACTGCAGATGAAAACTCCAGTCTGGTTACATCATCCAGGATGGCCTTATCTGCTTGGAAAAAGAGACGGATAAACACAAAGATTAATATCTTGATTTGTCACTTAAAGGGTTCTAATTTGACTTGATTGTGTTGGTCTGATCACATCAGAGAGCCCGAACAGCTCGTTAGGTCTTATTGCTCTTTTCCCCCCCTTTACTCTGGACAACAAGCACACAATAACGGCAAACATTTATCAAGTAAAAAGATAAATCAATACGCTTTAAACATATTTTAAACAGACTGAGAGCACGTTCATGATATCGGCTCTGGTAATGTCACTTCACCAACTTAGAACTGAAACAGCTAATCAACTAATATAATAGAGTAGCCTTGTAATTCCCTTTTTAAGAAAAATTGCCAAGAGGTTACTGGTTCTAATTTCTCAGCTCTGAAGACTTTCTTTGTCTTGTGGTCCAAATCTGTTAAGTTTGTTTTCACATTAGTCAGGTAAAACTAACAAACACATCACCTCAGCCTTTAAGAAATGACAATGAACATTTTATCACTACTGTGTAGACCCCAGTTTAATCTATAATGAAAATAATTGTTAGCTGCACTCCTACACCAATAGTTAAGAAAAGATTTGTCTGATTTCTCAAGTAATTGAGAAATACAAAATGCACCGAGTAGAAGAAAACAATTCCTATACTTCACTTATTAATACCATCTGCCAACAAGGGGACAGACACTAAAAGAGAGGAGGCAAAAACAGAAGCCAGACTGTGCAATAAGCTGGGGAAAAGACAGATACGTCTGACTGAGAGGAAAACAATGATCATTTGAGAAAAGAGGAAGGCAGAGAGAGTGGAATGTCAGGTTATCACAGCAGGCATGATGCAGTATTGTCTGATTTCTGGTGTTATGTCAGCTTCTGTTTGTATTGAACAAGGCCTGTGTCATCCGTGTCCAGCCTGAAACTGGAAAAGTCATGTGAAACAACCGGTACAACCGGCTTTTATTCAAAATCTCACTTGCTGTTGCTCATATTAATGTGGAGAATGTAAAGAAAGTAAAAAGTTGCCAAGAGCTCAGTGCTGACATGTAGCTATCTGTCAAACACAATAAAGGACAAGTAAGTCAAGTATTCCTGCATTTGGGCTTTGGCCTTGTCCTTCATATATGAAGAAGTGCAATCAAACCATTTAAAAACTGACACTGAGCACTAAAATATCTGCAACTGCAAGTCAAACTGAAACTGAGACACTTAGTCTTCTGAGGGCCTTGAAGCACAATCTCATACTATTAATACGTGTGTGTGTGTGTGTGTGTGATAACACTGCATTGTGACCCAATTGTCCTGTTGTGACCTTGACCTGTGTAAGAATTCCTGATTAAATAAAGTTGAACAAACTAATCAGACAAAAATGCAGCCTGGTTTGGTGCACAATATGTACCACGACTATCAGTTTCGCTACACAAGACAAATACACAGGGGATGAATCACATTTTGGGCAACTGAAAAACAATATCTCCACACGATTCCTCTAAAACAACAGTCTGGAAACTGCTTTATTATGCATGTACATTATTAATAACTTATTAAAACAGCTATATGGGAAAAAAGTGGAAAGTTTAAATTGCAAATATTACTATAAACCGTGCCTGGGTTAAAAAAACAAACAAACAAAAAAAAACAACATGTTTTATCCCATGAGACCACCACTGTTCTATAGGCCTGGAGATTAACTTGCACAAATAACTGCAATTTCAACCATAATATTAAACAAATAAATCAAATAGAGGCACCATGACAGCCTTGAGTTACAATACACCAATTACACAACAACAAATGTGCGGTAGGAGTCCACCTGGTGAATATATTTTGATCATTTCATTTTCTAGCTGTCTCTTCATTTCCTGTGACTTCTCTACTGCTCACCAACTATACAAAAAAATCAGAAAAAGTGCAATAAGATATTCCTCAAATTATTCAAACCTTAAAAACAGCGCGAGTACAGATATCTTTACTGAAAGTACAGTAGTGGCCGTTAATCTACTGTGTGCCACTACAGACTAAATAGTGCCACCTGTCATGCGCCTTTTCATGACCATTCTTCTATGTCACATTTACAGTTTCTTAAAAATTCCCCAAATATTCTTTCCCACCCAACCAGTCTCCCTGCTTGCAGTGTAAAATGTTGGGATAGGTGTAATACCTAGTTGACACATCCCATCGCTCCTGTCAAGCTGGGCAGCTGGGAGCATCTGTGTGGAAGGGGCAAGAGAAAAGGAAGGGAATATGTGGAAAACGAGAGGAAAGAAGAAGAGAAGGGGGAGGAGGCAGACAAGAGTGAGGCAACGGGGTCAAGGATAAGGAGGGAGGTGAGAGAAGTTAATTTGACAGACAGCATTTAAGCAAAAGTTATTAGTGTGTGTGTTGCTCTTCAGACCATTTTCTCAGTTAATCCATTAAATTCTTGGTCTATAAAATGCCAAAAACAACCAATTAGCATTTTCCCATTTTCCCCCATGTTGACATCTTCAAATGCCTAGTTTTGTTTTCAATTCACAATCAAGAACCCAAAAATATTCAGTCTTAAAGCAGCAAATTCTCACACTTGAGAAGCTGCAACCAGGGTCCAAAATTAAACACCCACCAAGCGCCAAATGCGGGTAGATTTTCTGTTTGGCGACTAAATCTCACTGTCTGCTATTGGCGGGTAAACATTTGTACCAAAATAGTCATGTAATAAAACACTATACTGAGAGTGTCTACTGCATTTTGATTTACAGGAGTTCTACTTCTGTCCTCTGTCTGTGTCGGAGACAGAGAGTGTCAACCCCCATGACAACCCACCTCCTCCCACCAATCAATACATTCATTTTGCTTTACATTTTACTGTGTTGAAGTTTGCATTTAACATAACCTATTACTCCAATGAAATACTGAAACAAAAATATACACAAAAATGCAACTAATTGGCTGGTATAAAAAAAATAAATAAAAAATAATAATTTGCTGAGCCGGTTTTTCCATCTACCAGGAACCTTGGCCAGTGAGTCAAAAGTTTAATTTCAGACCTCGGCTGCAACCAGAGAATTTTTGGCATTTTTGCTTAATGAAAAATGACTTCAGAATTTTTGCTGATTTAGTGTTTAATTCGATTAAAAGCCTACTGGTTGTAGACTTAAATAAATCCACTATTAACCTTTAACAATGCCACATGATGACAAAAATCATTATAAAGTCATACAAGTCATTTTCTGACCAGAGAATACATCACACACATAGCATAAAGCTGGAACTCAGTGATGCCCAGCATGTAGATCTCTCTATTCTGAGTTATCTATGAAATGTGGAGCATGACAAGACATTTCCCAGAAGCCTCTGGGTGACTAATGATGATGAGTCATGTGCCAACAACAGAAGAGTGATGCTACTGCAACATCACAGCTTAAAATGAACCTCTCCTCATCCCTGTGTTTTCTGTCACACACACAGGCACTTAAAGCCATCTTTGTGAGGACACTCATTGACGTAATGCATTGCCTAGCCCCTTACACTAACCTTTACCATCACAACTAAATGCCTAATCCCACCCCTTCCCCTAAATCTAATTCTTAAACTCAACTCTAAAATCCCAATCTTAACCCTCAAATAGTCCTTTGAAAGGGTGTGAGGAAGTGACAACTGACCAAAATGTCTTCATTTCATTGGCATAAATCTAACTGGTCTCCACAATTTACAGCCACACACACACACACACACACACACACACACACACACACACACACACACAAATCCAAAACATCACAAAACCAGGGGGGAAAAATAACCAAAGACAGAACCAAAAGTGAACTTGTGATTACATAAACAGAGGAAGCCAGCAGTTGCACAAACATAAACCAACATTTCTTATCATGCAAAATATAAAAGCAGCACAAGTGTGGTTTGTGAGACAGTACCATCTTTGTGAGGAAATAAAAAAACAAAAAAAACAAACAAAAAAAAAAGGCAGAAACCAGAGCGAGGACGAAAACAGAGATGACAGCGGTGGTAATTTTAACTTATCCCAGAATACACAGGTGGACAGAGGTACCACCTGGATCTATAACCATGGTAACATCATCTGTGGATCCTGCACCAGCTTATTCTGTGCTCTGTGGAACTTCACACCAGTTTGTGTTGGTGGTTTCATATCTAGGACTAAATCTGTGTGAGAGTGTGCATACATATCAACTCCATCCCTTACAGATGTTTGGCTGTAGTTCAGTCATGAAGGCTAGACTATGTCGTCTGCAGAGAGTAGAGAGATCTGGGGATTTTTAAAAGGCACAGAAAACAATGTCTCAGTCACAGACCACTATCAATTCACAATATGAAACAGATTTTTAATAATAGAATAATAGAAACCAGTGATTTTTCTCAATAATTGTATTTTTATTTAAAGTATAACCAAAAAAAAAACAACAACTGTAAAATAGTGCCCATTACAACATCTGAGAACCAGGATAACATGTTCAGCTTGTTTTGTCAGTCTAATCCCCCCGGTTTATTAAATTACAAGATTAAATTCTTAGTTGCTGTTTAATCTGTTTGTACACTGCTCAAGTGGCAGAAATTTTCTTTGAACAGCGTGAACCGAAAGGAGAACAACCGTAGACAATTATTTATTCATTTTATTTGCTCAGAACAATGATGGTTGTATGGAGTACAAAAACAATCTACCATGACATGCAGGAGGATAATTATTTACTTAGAACTGCTACAACAATAACAAGTCAGGATAGTGAAACATGACTTTTAAATCGCTAGTTAATGACAATTTTACAAACCTTTGTACAGTAGCTTCTAAGTGTCTGATCACACATCGCTGCACTTGATGCATCCACAGCACCAATAAATCAAGGTTTAATGTTTGATTGAAACTATTTTCATGTGTTTGGTGTCCATTTGCTGTAACCTTTCAACTAGGTCAATGTGTTTATTTTTAGCGAAGCACTCCAAGCTCAATCCTCAGTTTAAAAGGTCAAATGTACAAATGCAGTTTATAACTATTCTTAGAGTTTCCATTGGTTTTGGTTTAATTTCTTAAATTTTATTAGCATTACAGATTTTTATTAAAACTTTTGTGCTTAAAAAAATAATCACTTTATATGAAAACTGACAGAGTAGTCTGTCCATCCCCAGACTTGCTCACCTTCTCAGCCTGAGCCCAGATAATGTCCACAACCAACTGACATTTTGTGGATGCAGCATTTGTGGTTGTACATGTTTGGAGGGACTTTCAGAAACACAGAATCTGGATTTGATCCAGCAGCACACCGTCAAACACAGAAGAGGAACTAAAGAATAAAATCACCTGGCGAGGTCTGCGGTCAGAAAATAATTACACAGTCACTTGACCTTTTATGCAAAACGGTTACTCATTTCTGGGTTGGGCTTTTCATTTGCCCAAGTCAAGCAGATAATACTCATTTGTCACTCAATGCCAGAGTATTGCATCAGCTGTCTGTGGAAATAACAATCAATACTAATCAATCACAAACAACCAGACCTCTTAGCAAGACATCCTTTACACAGCTGACAAGACCATGACTGTTTGAATTGATCTGCTGATTCGTGCAGCTAGTAGACACAAAAACAGGTGCACATGTTTGAGCTGCACTGGTTATGCAGCCATTAAGGAATCTGAGTAGTCATTTGGTTGTGTTCTCTTTCTACAGTGCACAAGCCTTGACTACTGAAACACAGAGAATGTGACATTACAAGGCGTACACTAGCCTTGTTGCCATTAAAAAGTAGTGCAAATTATATTAGAAAAACAAAAAGAACATGCAAATATGCATATCCATCCACTGTGCGACTATTAGGAGTTGGTTTGTCGAGATAATGAAGAACAAATTAAAGAACTGCAGAAGAAGAGGACAACGCAAGGTGACGTAAATCTGTCCAACCTAGTGGTGCAGAGTGCTAACCTGCTGATGTAAGCAGGTGTAATGTTTGCCATGTTAGCGCATTACCCTTCTAACATTTGCTAACTAGTCCTGAAAACAGAAAAAGGCTGATGGGACCAAAGTTGATAGAAATCCAGGGGTTTCGCCATTTAACTAAAAGCGTAAGATATCAACCAATTGGTGACCGTGATCCATTCCCTGGGCATCTTGAATATCCATGGTGGACCACACCAACATCCCTATGTGTGCTGTTAACATGGCTTTAAAAAAAAGTCACCAAGACACTCTTGTCCCTCAGCTACCCTACAGTGTTTTCATTTCAGAGGGAGACCTCTGATTAATAAAACTTGCTATTCATCTTTTTTGTAACCTGCGTCTCACAGGACAGAAACAGGTGTGATACAATTTTCTAAAATGTCAAACTGCTGAATCAGTGTATTCATATGAGTCACTGTAACCTCTGCATCTCAGTGTGTGAGACAGGCTCATTATAAACTCTTCTCCCTGGAATTTATTAGTTACCAGGAAAGGAGACAAGTATGACCTTGACGTCCACCAATAGGTTGGTGGTGGAATGACTAAGCAAATCCTTTAATGTCTCATGTAGAGTAAATTTCCTTGACCCAGAACAACACAAATATGTTAAAGACAGCTTGGGGAAAAAAAAGTGCAATTAAGACCTTATACATAACCGAGTTTCATTACTGTAGCTGAAATTTAGACCATTTCCACATAAAAAAAATTAACTTACACTGTGCATTTAGGTTTATTAATGTCCTGGTTGGTGTAAAGCCAAAATAATCTTGCTATATTTAGTAATTTACAGTTAAACAGCAGATGGACTCCCTAGCTGTACTGTACACATTTCTCAGTTGAAGAAACCAAAGCAGCAGAAAAGACAGTTACATTTAGATCAGGTTAATTGTATTTCCATCGCTTTCTCAAAGCAACACTTGTTCCCACACAGCATGCCATCAGCAGCACATAAATGGGCCTTAAAGGTTGAATACCACAAAAACTTTACTGTAACTGTACATTCTTCAAGCCTAACAGGCATATTTAAGACTAAAGGCATCCACTGTTGCCTCCTGAAGTTGATAAAATCCTTTAATTCTGCCAGAGCTAGACTCCTGCTGGTACCCACAGCGGGACAACCCGTTTCATTTGTTTGCACAGTAACTGTGGAGATCGATTACCTTCAGTCAGTCCCTGACAGATTTATAGGGATCAGGTCAATATGCCTAACCTGAGATGTTCAGTGCAGTCTTTTTTCCAGCAACCAGTCAGTGAATCCTTGTGTTGCAGAACCCTATTTGCACATCTGGCAATACTCTAAAAAAAACAATACAAAAAGCTAATGAAAGTTCCTATGCAGTATAATGTAAAAGATGACGGCTCTTCGTAACCACCCCAAAAAAACGTGCTACGTTTCCATCATTGATGTGTGATCGATCAATAGTTTTACCAGTGAAATGTCTCACTCTTTTGGGAGTTGTCGGAATGACTCAGAAGCACTTAGCTCACTCTAATTATCCAGTGGTGTTACACAGCGATGCCTCTTTACCTCATAAACAATCTGCGGCTAACAGCAGACAGCGTGTTTGTCTGTTTGTCCACCAACTGCAGTGGGGTCACAAACCAGACAACAGCGAGTTTCATTTTGTCCTGTCCTAAGAAAAATATCAAATCAAATCCTCAACTGGAACCAGTAACAATCCATTACTTAATTGTTCAGCTCTCAAGTAGAACTGTTACCAAACACACACATACACATTAAAGTGGATGTTTTGTGGTTCATGTGAAGCAATGTAGTTATAACAGGGACGGGACAGGACACACACACAACAAAAAGGATCAGAGAGATAAGGAAACACTGCCAAGAAGAGATATGAGTACTACCATCACTGGGTGGGGCTCCTCACAGACAGACCTGATACCAGAGCAAGAGAGAATAGAGATCAGTGGATGATGCCTACAACAAGGTTATCCACATGCAACAAGGTCACATTGCTCTACATGCAAAACATGATTAGCCTGAAGGTGACCAGCAAGGACTGAAACAAGGCTACGCCAGCTGGATTGGAACACAACTGACTTCACTACTGGAGCAGCACTACTGTGTACAGACTGAAAGCGTTTCTGCAGTATTGTGTGCATGTATTTATAAATGCTGTCTCATTCCTATTTTTTGATTGCACACATTTCCTCTTTGAAATTTTTATTGCTCTATTTTTGAATTCTTTACTCTGTTATATTCTATTCCAGTTGCCTTACAACACATTGAGAGCCTCTGTACTGGAGTCAGATTCCTATATGTTCAAACATACTTGGCCATTAAAGACAATGTTGATTTTTATTTACATAGCAAAAAAGCAACAAACCAGTAAGCAGCCTGCAAAGATAAAACACAAATCAGTGTTATTTCAGGGCATGCTGCTCAAAGACATGCTAAAATATCACCATTACCACCCACCATACAACACCACGTACACACACACACACACACACACAACTATAAACAATACAGTGGGAAGGCACAGCACGATCCAGCAATACAATGTAATCTTAGTCATGTCGCCTACAGCAAAGAGGGCCTGAAATCCATTCATGCAACTCAGTTCACCCAAGTGTGCCTGTTCCTGTCCCAGTCTGGCTTGACATCCTGTGAGGTGACCCTCACAAAGGCAAGATGCATGGTAGCCTCGATGTTGATGCAAAATTTACTTGTAGTCTGTAGAGAACTGCAATGATTCAGCACAGGATCTCAAATAAGCTTCCTGTACAGTATCAACTTCTTTACAGAGGGAAAGCAACAGCCACAGTGGGGGCAATTTACTTGTACAGTCAGCACTGGCATCCCTATTCCCAGGAATTAGTCTAAGAACTGTACCTGGGGCCCCAAGTCCCTCGAGTGAGTTGATTTGACATTTCAGAGCAGGGCCAAAGCCCGGGGAAGATTAAACAAATTAGCCCGCTGACGTATGAGCATGACAGTCGGCAGCGGGGGTGTAAGAATGCTACATGTAAAATGTTCGCTACAGTTAAATTCCAGTGGTGGAGGACAGAATGGAGGCAAAGCTGAAATGAATAAATTTAGATCCTGGTTACTCCAGTGGAGGTAGAGGAACTGCATTCTGAAAAAGGCTCCTGCTCACTGGGGAAAGTTTCTCTGGTGGAAACAGGGCTTCTGTGACTGCATGTCTGGGCCACCATTCTGGGTATGTCCTGAACTTTGTTTTTAGTGTAACTGCCATCTGTCAGATCTGAAAATCTCATTGAGAGAGCCTAGTGTGGCATGTGCATCTATGAACAACTGTAAGTACAAAAACATACAAATCCCTTAATGACAAGGCTCCAGCGTATCTTAAAGACCTCGTAGAGCCTTATCATCCTAACAGAGCACTTTGCTCTCAGAGTGCAGGTTTACTTGTGGTTCCTAGAGTCCACAGAAGCAGAATGGGAGGCAGAGCCTTTAGCTATCAAGCTCCTCTCCTATGGAACCAACTCCCAGTCTCAGTTCAGGAGGCGGACACCCTCTCTACCTTTAAGATTAGACTTAAGACGTTCCTTTTTGATAAAGCTTATAGTTAGGGCTGGATCAGGTGACCCGGAGCCTTCCCTTAGTTATGCTGCTATAGGCCTAGGCTGCTGGGGGGCCCCATGATGCTCTGAGTTTCTTTCCCCTCCCCTCCTGCTCTGCTCTCCTCTCCTCTCTCTCCCTATGCTTCTATATGCCACCATTACACATCACTAGACGAGCAGTCACCAGCCACATTGACCTGATCAGTGTTTGATTGTTGTGTCTTGTTGCTTTTCTTCTTTTGTCTCTCCTCTATCCACTCACCCCAACCGGTCGAGGCAGAAGGCCGCCCACCAAGAGCCGGGGTCTGTTGGAGGTTTCTTCCGTTAAAGGGAGTTTTTCCTCCCCACTGTCACCAAGTGCTTGCTCAAGGGGGATTTGTTGGGTTTTCCCTCTGTAATAATATTGATAACAGTAAGGTCTAGACCTTACTTTGTAAAGTGTCCTGAGATGACTTTTGTTGTGATTTGGCGCTATACAAATAAAATTTATTGATTGGTTGATGTGTGTACACAATGTAAGGTTTAAATATAATAAATCTTTATATGCCTGTAGTAGTTGTATCTGTTTAAGTTCATTTTATTCACTATACTCATTTACTGAGATTCATTAGTTTTGCTTATTTGTCTAACAGCTGACAGTACACAGTTATTTAATCTGTCATCTATGGACACTCACATCAAATTAATACTGTGTCATCTTATGCCAGGTTAATGTATCTGCTTGTGACTTCTTGATGGGTTGGACATATCTCTATGACAGCTTAACGTGTTACACGCCACTTCATGTCACCTTAATGAAGATTGTTGACCTGTTTATGATGTCTGGATGGGTTGAAGTGTACCATTAATCAGAGATATGTGTCAAATGGTATTATTTGCTCATTAGTAATGTCAATCATGTAACCTGGATCTGTCAGCTTGTTATTTGTTACTTGCATGTTTATTAAACATCTTTAGCTACTGACTGCTCGGATGGATTTCTGGCATGTCAGAAATCTGGTCAGCTGTGTTGCAGATTGCAGGTCGGGCCAGTTTAAATGTATAGTGTGAGTTAATAAATAGTATATGATCAATAAGAGTCATACAGTGTGTGACTGACTTAACAGAGAAAAGACATTATGGACAAGTCTGGACACAACCACAGGATTCATACACCATTCCCTATACGCACAGTGCCTTACTGGGCAGGGAGTCCATCCACTAAGTATCAAGTTAGCTCATCCAGCTTGATGGCTGTGCAGCCACGTTTCAGTGAAAAAAAAAATGCAGCTGTTTTTCATTCCACGTTGGATAGTCTGTCATATTCATTCTACCAGTCTCCTAAAGCTCCTTGCTGCAGTACTGAGTTTCAACACATAAAGATATACATTTGGTTTTATTACAGTATCAACAAATGGTGCTGAAAGACTTGATCCGCGAGAGGCTGTTACATCTGCACACACTAGAATTAATGGTGACAAGGTAAAAGCTATCTGGCAGACACAGCATGTTTAAGACGTTCAAGTCAGGGGACTGTAAGGGCTGTTCCAAAAATTTCAGCCTGCATTTCCTCAAGTAGTTCATAGTAGATTTTGGTCTACTTAGGACTATTATCCTGTTGTAGAAGCTAGACTGTTCAGTTTCACTTCCTTGACCAATGCATGACTTTACTGATATTCAGTGAAATCCGTTCTTCCCTATGTCCTTGCAGCCAGTGTCACAGACTGAAAAAACCCCAACAAATTGCCCAGAACTACCCAAACCTTTGCATACAACTGTATTTTAGATGTAACAAAGACTGGGTTTTAACACTGTATTAAATTGGTGACTTTAATTTTGGGAGTAATTCAAGCTTTTTGTAATATTAGTGCTTTGTGACACATTAGCAGTAAGCAGAGCATTCTATTAAGACTGCCAAATTAACTTGCTAGTCAGCTAACACAGTCTTTGAACTGGTTGCTGCCTTTTGTACAGTTTGTCACAACCAGTCATCCATATTTTGTATCCTGGCTAAGAAGAGAGATGTGGCGAGAGGGGGCAAAGAACAGTTTGAAGCAGCTTATGATGTCAGTTCCTTTTGAGTCTCTCTTCACCCTCTAGGAAGAAAATGAATTAAGCAGAGTAGCTTTAAATATATCTTTTTAATAACGTGTGTTTGACTCTGACAGATGCACAAGCATACATAATGGCACTGTTAAGCATAAACACACAAACACCAGTGATCAGCAACCAGGACAACCTCATCATCAGGAGCCAATAAAACCTAATGGCCAAATAAGCTCTAATGTCCCTGTCTGGTTGCTGTATTTTCTTACCTGCTCTACCTTTTGGGGTAGGTTAAGTGATACAAGTCAATTTGCGATGCATGTTTAACCTCCCTGAGTGTTAGTCACAATACAGCACTCCTATACAAAAACCTTGAGGCATCTGATCTCCACACCATAAGGATAAGCAATAGTTTTTGCCTGAAATATATTTTCCACAATGCTCTTTCGTGCTTTACAGATGAATGGTAAACAGTGGAGGATGATCAGGATGAGCAAGGCTAACTGGGCCTTGTTTTATGGTCACACTTAAGCATCAGCAGCATGCACGGTCACACCGGTGGGACCACAAAGTCCTTTTGCTACCAGATGGAGACCTTTATATCTCTAAACGCTTCTTATTATCAATTACCAACTTGAGCCCCGGCTGCGACGACGAGGAGAAGCTACGCAAAGCAGAAATTCCCATTAAGTCTGTCTCATGGGATTAAGAATGGCACATTTTTTACTCACCTGCCCGATGAAAGAGAAGACGAAGCTCACTTCCCGTCTCGGCTAATGTTACGTCCCTTGGCTAGCCCCCGTGGTTTGTGTTGTTGAAGCTGAGCGGAGGGAAAGGAGGCAAAGGCAGCCTTCATTTAAGGCCAGAGGATAGCACAGACACTTAAAGGACTATGATGACGAGACGACACCGTCTTCAAGCCTAGTTCTTCCACGACACACTGATTCTCTTCAACAAACGGGCTTTTAAGCTGGTATTAAACGTGCAGCCCATGGAGATATTTCGTTTTTCGTAAGCCACGGGTTCATGTTCGTCATCACGCACGTCGCGTCAAGTTCCTGCCTCTCACCCCGCCTTGGAGGCGCGACTCAGCCAATCAGGAGCGTTCTCGAAGTGACGCAGTCCTCCTTCCCTCCTCGGTCTAGATGCCTAACATTCTGTTGCATAAGCTACCCATACTTTTTCTGGAGCTCTACAGTTACTTAACAAGAGCATTCACTGCCCTCAGAAATATTAAAATGTCGTATTTCTGCTCGCCTTCAACTGTGCCATTAGTCTTATGTATTTCATCACACTGCCATCTGATGGTTGTTTATTTGCACTGCCGTTACTGGCCTATATCCACACATTTGATGGGGTATTTGCCCTGGCATAACCAAGTTGGCACAAGATTGGATAAGAAGTCTACTAAAGCACTGTTTTGAGGTACTTTACTTGAGTGTTTCCATTTTATACTACTTTATACTTATGTACAAACTAATAGAAGGATTACTGATGAGATCTATACCAGGCACATGGCCACGGTACCAAAGGACCCCTGGGTCAGAGCTACTGATGTGATTGCTTTATCATCTGAATGTAGGAAGGAAATGTGCATTAAAAAAAGGAGAAGGCACAGCTGTCAACAGCATCTTTAATTAACTGACATCACAAAGATCCTACTATACTGTACGTAATACTGTGGCACTTAGAGTCAGCATGCTCAGAGATACTGAAGAACCAAGATAAAACCTTCACTTGGCTTGAGGACACTCTTTTAATAGGTCTTTGTTTCTTCACAGTACTGCACAGACTAACTTAGCCAATCTGACCAGCTAAACATAATCTTCCAAATACAAAAACGAAAGAAACATCTGAATATCTATATAAATTCTGTGAGGAGCTGTTACTAAACATGGTGTTAAACTGATTAACACAGAGATTTCTTAAAACAAATTCTGGTCCTATTCCATCACTGAGTGCAGCACAGATGAGACCAATACTGCGTAGGATATACAACTATTAACTATACATATATACATACACACTGGCTTCCATCAGTGGTGTACATGTGCAGGTATCTACAGTGCATATAATACATAGTCTTACAATTGTAGTGCAAGCTAATTCCACATCACATATTTGAAGACAGACATGCTTTATGTCATTTCTCTTTTTCAGTGTCACTGTGATTTGTTTATTATTTTACATGCTGCTCTTTGTTCACTTCATCCATTGGTCTAAGACCTCTTGAGAAAACAGCAGGTCTGTGTGTGTATGTATAAAAGAAAGTGTGTATGATAGTGAGGCAAGGTGGAGTAGTGTTAAAGGTAGCATCCTTGTGTGCTCAGGTCAGTGGATTCTTGTAAGCTTCTTCAGTCCTTTTTGGTTGTCTGATGATAAAAGCACAAAAGGCTCTTCGGTTTCTTCGCTGCGGACACAAAAATACACTGGATGTGTGGGGACTTTACCCAGGAAGCTCTTCTTTTCTACGCAGCAATCATTTTTATCCAGAAGCAGTTGCAAGATACAGCTAAAGAAGCATGGCAAGAAAGGCAAAAAAACATCTACTTCCTCCATCTTTACAGTGCATCCATTATTGTATGTGCCAGGATGTCATGTTTAGTGTGAAGGTATGGGTGTGCTGTGTTTGTGTGTGAGTTGTGCTCCTGGGCTAATGAAAAACAACAGCTGAGAGCATCCTGATTCCTCATATCACATTCTCAAACAGCTGCATGGAGTTCATGATGTTCTCGTCCTGGAAAAAATGATAAGAAAGTTCAGGGGCCTATTCCAGAAACTATTTTAAAAACTGGGAATTTAACCTTGGACTCTGAGTTCAAAAACCCTGAAATGGCTAACTCAGAGTTTTTAGTTACAGAACAGCCAAACAGAATCAGTTCAGCCATCTGAGTATGTTTTAGTTAAATAAAGCTAACATCATTCACCATGGCAGTGGGTAAATAAAAAGCAGAGTTTCCATACTAATCCAGTGGAGGCAGAAATATAATATGACAATGTACATTTATTTTTAGAAACACACCAGCATCCAAAAAAGAGCCTGAGATGGAGAAAAGTCAGTATATTGTATTTAGTGTAGTCGCAAACCTGAATTCCCTTGATGGATTATAAGGTGCTGTAATCCTACATTAACCTGAAAGGGACAAACTGCTGGTGGCAGCAGAAGATGAAATCATACAGATTAAATATCCATGTAAATTTGTGACTGTACAGTTTAGAATTAGAAAAATCTTCTTAATACCATTGAATTATGGTATCTGAAATGCTTTTAAAACAAGTTCAGACTATATAAAGCCAATATTCAAAAACTTGCTTTTAAAATATTGTTTCAGTGCAAGAAAAGTGACTGACAACATGACAGCTTGGTCAATGGGTTATATAAAAACAAACAGCTGTGAACTGGGGATGAACCCAAAATGTGCAATAGTTGAATGTGAGGACAAGGATCATTGTCTTAGTCTTACTTGCAGTAGTTTTACACAGTGGTATTGTGGTATTTATTGTAAATTGTAATAAAAATGTTTTTAAGATAAAACCTTTTAATAATTTTAATATTAAAGTTAGTGCAATTCTCCTAAAAGAGTATCTAAACTCTTTTTGTATGTCCTTGGCCCTTATGGATTGAGTCATATTAGAACAGCTGCAAAGCTGCAGCAACTTTATTGCTCAATGTTTGAATTTGGGTTAAGTTAAACACACAGACAGATCATCTCAAACTGTCAGGAAAGGTAATGGTGAAAGTGAGGTATTTCTCATAAACACGAGTGATGCTGTAACGTATGGTTGGATACGGATATTAGTGCCTGATTAACCATGACATGATGTTGTCAGGGTCACAGACCTGTTGTACACTTTTTGTGTTGATGAGTAATTGTGATTTTGTCTTTGATAGTGGGACTGGGTGAAAAAGAGTCACCTTCTGACAGGTCTCAATGAACTCTTCGATAGTCACTACACCGTCTCGATTTTTGTCCATTTTCTATGGGGGGGAAAAAAGAAGCAGCAAAACAGAGAGAAAGGACATAGTGAGAGAATTTTACAGAATTCTGTGATGCTACTTTGAGTAGAAAGTGAAAAGAGGTCTTGTAACACTGCACGTGTTTTTTTTAATTTGTGTGAACTCATAACCTGGAAGAACTTGTCTACATGTTCAGAGGGAGCTTCATCTCGCACACAAGGGTAGGTGTACCTCCCCATCATGTCGTAGATCGATTTCATAATCGCCAGCATCTCCTGAAGAGAAGACAGAAGCAAACTGAAAGAGTTAAAACATCAGCTTATTGTTTCTCACCCACTGTGACTAGATTTTTATTTTATAAACTACAATATGTGAATGAAACTCAACTTGAGCTAGACTGGCTACACGTTCTGTGCTGTGGTTCATCGTGCATATACATGTTAGTGATGAGGGCCTCCCATTCCAAACCACACTGCAGTTAAGTTGGATATTTGACAAACATTCACTCCGAATCCAGCAGCATCTTCATACCCAGTTCCTCCCTAACTGTTGCCCAGGCCCTCAGTGCATGTCTAATCCATTCATTTGTAATATTTAACTTGCTCCAAGACTTTCTGTTCATAAGAGGCAGAACAGACTGTTTCTACTGTGTTGGAGGAATCATCTCAATTATGACATTTGCATGAGGTCAAAAGGTTGCATATCCCATTATTCACAATACCTCTTTGGTGATGTAGCCATCCTTATTAATGTCATAGAGGTTAAAGGCCCAGTTAAGCTTCTCAGTGACCGAGCCTCTGAGCAACACTGACAGGCCGATGACAAAATCTTCAAATCGGATTGAGCCATTTCTGTCGATGTCAAATGCATTGAACAAGAAGTGAGCGTAGGTGGTTGCATCTGTGGACAAAAGGAGTCAGTGTCAATGATGCAGCGTCCCATTTTTCGACAAAGCACCAAAAACTGCTAAATAAATAAATAAAATCCATTTATTGGAGTTGGAGGGGAGAGTTGGACATAATGTTTTACTCCCGGGGTTATTAATATTTGCTTTGAGAGACAATTTTTATTAACTACAATTTAATGTTTTTGAAGATACTTCTTGTTTTTCGCCTGAATGGGCGATTCAACACAACAAGTTCTCAAACAAAACACAGAGACAACTCACCTACACACATAAAAACAATCCAAAAACACAACTTTTAAAAGGACCTAGCTGGCCAGCAATGTCCAACACCACAAAGGCACATTATATGTAAAAAAAAAGACAGAAGCCAAAATTACAAGTGCATTTTTGTTAAAATTTTCACACAACCCCCAATAAGCGAGAACAAGAAAGGAGACTGTTTTATTGTCTAACCTCCTTGGGGAAAGAACTGAGAATAGATAGACTTGAATGTCTCCTCATCAACCATCCCACTGGGACACTCCTGCTCAAGAGAGGAGGAAAAAATAGACATATTAGAATAATTCAAGTCTATATAAAGCATAGTAATAGCAGCAAACTAATTAGAAGCATACGTTCTTGAAGCCTCGATACAGAGACTGAAGCTCCTTCCTGGTGAATTTGGTCTGAGCCTGCAGTTGGTCCAGCCCCTCCGGTTGGTGACGCACTGTTGACAGCTCCAAATCACTGTCGCTGCTGTCTGTGGGAGAAAGAGAGAGAGAGAGAAAAAGAGATGGATAGACAGACAGGGAGAGAGAAAAGAAAGAGAGACAAGTGATGTAGAGAGGGAAGGATGAAGAGGAGAAGAGGGAGGATGGGGCAGACTTTGAGTGTGTGGATGCAGGTCAACATTCAGGAAGGGGCGGGATCTCACATTCATCAGAAAGGCATTTATTATAGAGCAGGTGGGGAAAACGTGTGAGTGTGGGCAAAAGATTTACAAAAAAAAAAAACAGAAACAAAATGCAGGTGAATGAGGGAGTTAAAAACAAGAGGAGATACTTTCCTTATGATGGAACTGTCACCTAACAACTATGGTTTTGATCTTTAAAAAAGCCATGGCAGAAAATCCGAATTTGAGAAATTCAGTTGAAGACAGAACATATCACAAATGCACAAGTCAGTGTTAGGGGATTATTGGTTACCAGTTCACACACACTAAGAGAGCACTGCACGTCTGGGAAAACAACATTCAAAAAAAGGAGGGAAGTTTTCTTGCACTAAAGTTAAGTTTCTTTCTATGGGTACCATACTCACCATCTTTAGACAGAGAGAACAGAGGAGGAGAAGGAGGAGGGGTGTGGACACCAAGATGGAGTGAAAGAGTAAATGGAGAACAGTGAGAAAGTGATAGCAAGAGGAAGAAAAAACAAAGCAAAGAAAACAAGTCAAGTCAGATCGGACACTGAGAGGTTTCTATGATGGGTGCTGAGCAGTCCAGCAGGAAAGACTCAAGCTTGATTCTGATAAAACATCCAGCAGAGCAGTGAAATGTGATATACTGTGAAACATAAACAAAAACTACCAAGAAGGGAACTGAAGAAGGGAGGTGAACCACTCTTAACTAAGACAGTTAGTTCAGTCCTGCACAAAGTGAGAAGGAGGCGGCAGGAGACGACCTCTGACCTACTTCACCACAAGTTTCTCCCACAGAGAAAATGGGACAATGTGCAAAATACAAAATCGGTCTCATATTTTAAACTATTCTAAACAAATAGTTAAACCCCAAATTATTTGGTGATGATATTTTTCCCTTTAGTACGAGAGCACAGTAGCTTAACAAAAAAGAAATCTTAACTGAATGGATTGAATAGCTTTTAATGGGATGTTGTTTTTTTTTGATTGATTGATTTTATTCTTTCAAGCATGTAAAGATAGTCGATATGTCAACACACATAATTTCACACATATCCACAAATGCTAATCCTATCCCAATGTGCTTATACCTAGTACATGCTTGAATGGAGTAGGAAGAAGTTAGACTTATCCAGTCCTACCCCATGACATCATCTTACCATCATTGGTTTGCAAGCAGTATCTCTACATAGATAATTTTGTTCTACATCACGCTAGTGATATACTAAAAAATTATTACAGATTGTTAACATTCTTACATAATTACATTCTTAAATAATTATCTTCTACACCACACAAGTAATATACTAAAGAATTATTACAAAGTGTTAACATTCATACACCACACCCACAATGTTCCATCTAATTAATCATTAAGCCTGTTCTTGAATATATCTTGATTGACACATACCTTTATATTTCTGATTAAACTCATCAATTCTATTACTACCTTTTATATCCACACTTAAATTATTCCATAGTTTTACCCCACTTATGGAAATACAAAATCTTTTTTTGGTTGTACGTATAGCATGAATTTTTAAATTTAACTGACCCCTTAAATTGTATCCCCCTTCCCTTTCATTAAATAGTTTTTGAATTCCACCAGGTAATAAATTGCTCCTGGCTTTATACATAAACACTGCAGTCTTATATCCCACTAAATCAAAAAATGTTAACAATTTAG